AACTCCAAAGCATCTCTGAGCTGACTTGATTCTTATTTTAAGTTCATCTAATTTATTTGTGAGGCTATCGGCATTTGTATACACACATTCAATTTCTTTGAAGATGTTCTGTGTGGCATTTATTGTTTTTTTCGAAATGTTGACATTACTATTTGAGTCGTGATTCCTTGAAGAATCCAGTGTATATTTGACTGATTGATTAGCAGTATAGGTTTGTTTCCTGTTTAATTGGAGTTTGCGATCATGGTAACCAAGGGCTTTACACATTTTCTTCCACACGGGGATCCTCTTACTTTGTACGAGAATTCCCCCGACGTGTCTTTTTTTATTTTTTTATTATTACTTTAGTCTTTTCCAACATTGCCTGGTCTTGTTCCCTTTCCTGTTTTGTTTAGCTGTTACTGATTCTGTACCCAGTAAACAAAGGACCGTTACCGATGTTTTTAATGTACTTAAAAAGCGCTTTCTTCACGTCGGAGTTAGATAGCGGTACCAGCAATTGTCGCGCGCGGCTACTTTGATCCTCGTTTGACTCCTCTCTGCGCTTTCCAAGTCTTGAACATTTGGAAACTTCATCCTCATCTACATTTACGCAGCAGTTTAGGTGAATTTCGTTGCTTTTTTTAATATCGTAAATTACCCTGTCGTCTCTTTTCGTTGATAAATCTCTGTAACGCTGAAAATCACGATATTATTTTCTCTTGTTTTGTTTGCGCTTGTTTGCTCTTGTGGGATTGCTTTCTTTTGCATAACTGCTGCCCATGAAGGCCCCTTCTCCTCATTCATCATTTCGCGTACATTTCTTTCGTCGCATTTTGTGCGGATCGAATCCTTCAAATGCCTAATTCGCGGTTGACAGAGTAAAGAAATGCTACAGCTTTCATGACTTAATTACATTTTTACCAGTGAAATATCAGAATATGTCCATTTTATTAATAATTGAATTTCACTGGAATGAAGATATACGAAATGTTATAGCTCCAGATGCCAAAGTATCACTTTTAGTATTGTCCAATCAGAACCATACTCTCAGTTCACTGCGTAGATTTTCAATTTTTTGTTCAGATGAAGCGACATCAGAATAAGTGGTTGTTTTGGTAAACATCGGTTTTGTTTGTGAATATATACCAGATAATATCAGCAGGTTAAACATTGTATTGGTGCTTTTTTTAATCGTGACATAATTAGAACTAGGTTTCGAATATTCGATACCCTTGAAATAAGTATGGTACTCAGCTGGAGCCATTAGATATCATCTTTATATTTCATACATCTGTTAACATCTAGTATGATTTTCAATATGAAATTAAAAGGAACAGTAAGACAATAACATCATGAAGCTGTTTTCATGTGTATACTTTTCGAACACTTATTTCTTTGAGTCACCGTTCCATACCAATTTCAAACAATTGGAGGATATGGGTGGCAAAGACCATTTACATTAATTTGTATCATTCTTGCTCAATTCGATAGTACCTTCATTCATTCAATTCATGTAGCTATAGTCGTTCAATCTTCCACGCGTTCGTTTGCCCAGGTGAGGAAGGCAAATGGTTCTGTCCCCATGCCGGGACATACGAAAGACCTTCAAAATGGTAGTTGTTATTCCCTGCTTAACGTTCAGCATTTAGGGCAAAGGCAACAACTGGTTCACCTATCATCAGTACTTGCTGCCTTTCAGTGAGGTAGCACTATTAAGCCGGCATCAGATCCGCGATATCACACGGAGGCAATCACAAGAACATATCCTTCCTTCAGCATACATACACACATGCAGGCACGTCTTTGAATGACCTTGTTGTAGGGACATTAAACCAAACCAATCATCCGTATATTTGTCATACGACCAACCAATTCCATTCCCATCCTATGTAATAATTAGTGGCGAACGTGAATGACCTAAAACCTTCTCCCTCACATACCACCATCACAACCATAGTTCATGTAGTGCGAGTGACATTTAGAGGTAAAACTCAACATATTCATGCATTACTTATGGTTACAGAATCGTGTGTTAGATATTTTAGATAATGTTTGAACTAAAAGATCATATATATTAAATCAATCTCCCCTTTAATTCCTATTTTAACCTTTAAAACTAGTTTTATTAACTTTGAGGTTGCTGTAATATGCAAAATATTGTGGAAAAGATTAAACATTTAATGTTTTGATTAAGTTCTTTCCATTATTGTAGATTACTAAGATTACACCAGCTGTTTCCAAATGCTGTTCTATTTATCATAATTAAATCACTTTTGATGTTATGTCATTCGCCGCTAATTATTATATAGGATGGAAATGGAATTGGTTGGTCAAATGACACGAATATATTAGAAGGGTGTTGGTCAACCCAGGGATGTGTACAACCCAGGGATGTGTACACATCCCTGGTCAACCAAATCCTCCAATTGTTAGAAATTTGTAAGCAACGGGGACTCAAAGAAATAAGTGTTCGAAAAGTCAACACATGAAAACAGCATCATGATGTTATTGTTTTACTGTTTCTTTTAATTTCATATTGAAAAACATACTAGATGTTAACAGATGTATGAAATATATAGATGATATTTAATGGTTCTCGCTGTGTACCACGAGTATGGAAACATACCGATGATAATTTTTACGAGAGCGAGTGCAGGAATCAGTATTCGATTATTCGAAACCCGGTTCTAATGACGTCACGCTCGACAACAAGGCGGAGCCCATTTCGAATGGGTTGCTTAGCGCAAATTTGTCCTTTGCTGCTATTATCTAGTAATATAATGGATGCTGCCAATATTTATCAAAGCAACCACTTATTCTGCTGTCACTTGATTTGAACTGAACACTGAAAATATGTGCAGTGAATAGAAAGTACGGTTCAGATTGGACAATACTTAAGGTTACGTATTGCCATCTGAAGCTTTAATATTTCGTATACCTTCGTTCCAGTGAAAAGGTAATTGTTAATAGTATGGATATTTTACTGGTAAAAATGTGATAAGTTACACTATTTCATTTGTCTGTAAAATTATAAGTCATGAACACTATTATGTGCTAGTTAGTGGGCTTTTCCGGAACAAAATAAACGTATTTTTAAGCTCCCGACATGAAATAACTCTGGGTTAGTAGCGTTAGTCGATGAAGCATATATGATATGACTTTGGATACCAAATGGCGGGTATAAATGTACATGCATTTTATCGCCTCGTCTTTGTAATTTCTGTTGCACGTGTTTCAAAACGGGGCGTGGTTAAGTTATTATTACTAATAATTCACCCTGTACTATAAGCTTACACATTTTATAAATAATAAAAGAAACATTGATATTCTACCGAAACCTGGGCTGTTGTCTAAGGCACAACTAAATACAGCATATGCCAAGCAATGTCAAGAAAACCGGAAGTCACTTGGCTTTTGTGGTGATGTTTCTGCTTTAATACGATGGTTATTTCCTTTACAAATGTGCATACTGCAATGTCCTTATAATCTATTCAAACGGAGATAAGTCAGTTATTTTCTCAAAGATAAACAAGCAATGCATACATTTCCGATATTACTAAGGTTTATGCTTTGATATATTCATTTAGCATTAAATTAATTGTTGGAAACTAAAATAAATGAATTTTCATTCTGATGTTTGATTTTGACTACTGTTAGGGTGTTATATAAATGAAAGTCAACACATGTGTTGCTGCAACACGACGGACGGACTATTTCAATTCTACAAATGGTACAATAATAAGTAGCCGGTACGTTATCGTGGACGAAACAAATACGCAATCCATGGCAGGACTAATCCATTAGCGTCTACGTTAAAAAATGTGAGATAATAGATAATAATAATAATAATAATGATAATAACTCAGGGTTCTGCTTTAACACAAATTATTCATAGGTCGTCTCAAAGCGGTTCACACAAAGGACACTTGACGAAATATTGAAGATGAGTGTGTAACTTTGTTGCTACTGGGTTAGTATATAGTGTGCATGTCAAAGAATTTTGAAACAGGCTGTGGTTTTGTCAAAAATGTAAACACTACGCCATTGTGACCGGATACTTTTGAAACGGCACTGTATATTTGTTGTCTATGTATTTTATATTGTATTGTTTCATAGTGACTTTTTGTCATTGTTATATTTGATATGTAAGTGATAGTGTTTCTTTCTTGAAAAAGCTAGGGGCGAATTGCCCACAAAATTAGACAAATTCCTTTGGTTTCACTGTCGTTATTACTGTACTCCTTTGCTAGATAAAAATAAAAATATATCTATACAAATACATTTGATTTGTCAGTAACAATGCGTTACTGAATGAGGTTTCTGAAGTGTAAAATCCGTTATATAACAATATAAAGACTGATATCATGTATATTATATTTTTGCCAACCGAAACATTTACAAGGGCAACACGAGTCAAACATAAGCAGCCAATGTCATTTTCAAAATTAATGAAAAGGGAAAAATGTTTGATATCGATACTTGGCCATATTAAAACTAATAAAAATAAATGTTTACAATTGCGTCGAAGTCAACATGCATAAAATCACCAACGATATGAGCTATCAGAAATAGAAATTACCCTAAAATCCTACAAAATGACCACTTTTATTATATGATTTTAATTTTTCATTATTCAGATTGACAACATAATGGAATGCAGTTCGATGGACAACAATTAGTGGTTGGCCATATTTTTTCAATACTTTAATACATTTATACTCCTGCATTTACAATAAAAATGGCATGTTTTAAGAGTATAACGTGAACCTACACAAGATTAGTATCCTGCCTGTCGTGTAGTGTATGCCTGGACTGAGAGCGTCTGTTCATACGCTACGTATGCTAATACGATTCTAATTATGTGATGTACATAGCGTGTCCTGATGTACATATCCAGACAATATCTCTAGCGCTCACCTCACAACTGAATTTGTCGGCCAATAGGTAAAACGGATTCAGGCTCTGACTTCGACATTTAGAGGTTTTCTATTATAAACTGTTTCGTTTTGTAAAAATAGATCATGACCACGAAGGAAGGTGCAGCTAGGGACAATGGAGGATCGGATTTACTTTACAAGGTTTCTGAGCGACCTCCACTTCACATCACTGCCATCCTCTCCTTCCAGGTAATACGTTTTACATAATGTCCTCGATATCCAGTGGGTTTCGCTCACCTTCGCTCTCTGCACAGACTGTGTATTTTCAAATGATTTTTAAATACATTCTTTAAATTTGTGAACATTTTGTTTTTGTTTTTGAAATATTTAATTGGTACTTCAATTGGGTTAAAACAACTAAGTTTTAATCTTAAAAGTGGATTTTTTTCATTTTTAAACATTTAATCCTCTATAACATGGCATTTATAATTATATATGGTTTGTGGGATCCTAATAATACTATAGTGTGCCCCCTCCCGGGGAGGAGGGGAGGGCGTTCTCCTAAATAGGGATATCCGCAATTCCGTCTTTGCGTATTACAGAGTTATCTTCTCTCAACCAGGTATTGGTTGTTACGTCACTTGTTTGTGAGAAAACGACGTAATTTTCTCACACAAACCAATGACGTAACAATCAACACTTGCTCCCAAGAGAAGATAACTCTGCAATACGCAGACGGAAAAGAGCTTTACAGGGTATATGCCAATTTATCAGGAACATCAATGTTATATGAGTTTTGTAGAAGATATAATTGCATTGCTTTATATAAAAATAAGAATTGTTAATAACATTAGCATTTTGTATTATACAAACAATTCATACAAGTGAAAAATATCTATATGGACAGATGATAAATGATAAATTAAAGCAAATATTTGCAGATATCAAATATATTGGTAAATCACAAAGCTAGTATAAAATCCTTCAGCGATAGATTGCGATCTCAGTGTTAATGTTATAGATTGATATTAGAAACCAAACATTATAGATTGAAATCAGAAATATAGCAGTATAAATTGAAATCAGAAATATAGCAGTATAAATTGAAATCTGAAATATAGCAGTATATATTGAAAGTGTTAATATGCATGTATTATTGATTAAAATTTCGAAAACTGACATTGCAGATTGACACTAGTTTCAACTCAAATATCGGTATAACCGCTAGAAATAATTACTTTAGTGCATATACATATAAGTAGCTATTGAAGAGAAGGGATTGTGCATTGTGCATTAGATATTTTAATTGGTCGTATTTCACAATTATTTCCATTTTTCTTACATAAAATGTATCTTTGATGTGTCTCATTTTATTCAACTAATCTGTTAAAAAATGTTGGTTCAAAATCGTGAAAGTGTTCTATTTATATAGTATTACAAATAACAAATGAAAACCGGTGTGACGGGTAATGCGCTTTTTATACCCAGTGAGACCCATAGTCGTTGCCAAGCAATGCAAGGACAACCTAAAATGTCAGCACTTCTTTTAAAAGACTCACACAGCTAAATCATTTTAGCTAATAACTTTAATACTTAAAGTTCAAAACCAGTGACAACTGTCTAGATTCATAAATACATACCTTGCAAAGGCTACAAAATGACTTTTTTAGTAGGTTTAGTGGCATATTGGAGTGTCAAAGCATCAACCGGAAGTTTACAAGCAAAACCGGTGACCCAAAACAGAAACGCCACCAGACATTTTGCCCCTGTGCAAATCCGCACACGGACATGGAAAAATAACAAAAGAATACATTTTTCATAAGTTAAATACCTGAACATTTCATTTATCAAAAAATCTGGCATCAGTTCCTTATTTAACTCCTTCAGTGGCCCAATAATTGGCCGGAACTTATTATAGATTGGAACTACAAACGTATGCAACACTTGCTGATTGGCTGATTTAGTTTTATGAGTTCTACAAACGATAGTCGGAAGAGATGGGGAAGATCTCAAAACGAGAAAAAAATAGATTTTTTTTTTAAATTTCAATTTAAAGCCTTTTTGCTTGCACTGTCAGTTTTAAATATAGAAATACGTTTTTATTACATTTTTGCCAGTGAATTATCGGATTCTCTCAACTTGATGAAACTGATATCTTTCTCACTGTGACAAATACCAAAAGTGATATTTTCACACTCATAACGTTATCTTCTATTCCCTGCATTCAAAGGCAACGATTTTTTGTTCAGATTCAAATGAAGCGACGGTAGAATAAGTGGTTGTTATGGTAAATGTTTGGTACACACACTTTAGTATTTACATGAATATACAATTAATAACATTTTCATAAGCAATAAATCACACCAGATAATAGCAGAAAACGTCGGAATTGCGTTGAGTATTCCATTCAAAATGGCGCACAACCTTGTTGTTAAGCGTGACGTCATTAGAATATGGCGCTAATTATTACTCTTCTGATGCCGCCCTTTTTTAATGCATTACATGTTTTATGCTTTAAAAATGCAATAAATAGAAAATGTAATGGTGTCTTAAGTAATAACAAATATATTTCACTCGTGTGGCTAATATTTTGATATGTTTCACTCGTGCTGCGCACTCGTTAAAAATATCAAAATATTAACCGCACTCGTGAAATATATTTGTTAATACTGAAGACAACATTAAATATCCTCTATGTCTTATTGTACCTATAAATAGATACCTACTGTAGACGACGATGATCAAACAGTCATTGGTTTAATTCCCGTTGAATTGTACTATGGCGGATAGCATCAATAACAAAGAGTCTCTCTCTTAATTAATGGGTCTGTTATCTTTGTAGATTCATCAGGAATATACGAACAGTATCGTATAGCTTACATAGGGTCACTTTAGGAGCACATAGAATTTTAGCAAATTGTGTTTGAGAGTTTGAGGTTTAACGCAAATTTTATGGAATAAATACCACATGCAATATCATAACTATAATATTTGATGCCTTCCATTTGAGCAGCAAGTGCTGATATCCCTGGCCGGGTCACTAGCTGTATCCTCCTTTGTGGCCGACGCAGCATGCGCAGAGGACGACATGGACCTCAAATCGAGGCTGTTGAGTTCAACGTTACTGATGAATGGGGTCACGACCTTACTTATGGTAACTATAGGAATAAGGTAAACATATCAGCATACTAATTGATTGATAATTGTTTTCTTTTCGTCTTGAATCTTTTTCATTGCTTACTCTTTGTGAACTTTTTATCATAAGTATTTTGTTATGCTCTTGACTGAAACTGTGAATGGAAAAAAATCAAATGTGCCATGAACAGACAACAGCAAAAATCAGACGAGTCACCAAAACAAAAGGGAAGACATGAATGATGCGAAGCTATGTGCATTGGAAGTGTTTTATATTTAATGTGTAGCACCCGTAATCATGTTTTCTGTCAAATACTGCGCCTCATGTTGATTTTTCGTATTGGTCCAGTACAAGAAAGGTCGAAAATATAACAATTGGGAACCTGCCAGTTTTACAGTATTAATGTGTTAGCAATGTATTGGTGACAAACTGGATTACATGCTGCGATAATCAATAACTTTCATAAAATTTGTTGGCAGGTCACGACGGAAATATTAGTGATATCAATACATGCTTGAAATGAAATGTCTCCGAAATGGTTAGGAGATATCATATAAGGATCCGTATATTTCTCCTAAACAAATCGACGAACAGTGTAAATTCAAAACTAGCGTCAATTTTAAGATTTTAATATTTAAATTATTTTATTTAAACTCAGTTGCATCATGTGTGGAGCAACAAATACTAGTGTCGACATTGGTCAAGGGAGCTAAGGGTAGAAGAAAAAGGGGTTAATATGGGCCAAATTGCTTTATACACTTTTTTTTTTCTAAAACCATGAGAAGGATATTAGCCATATTTGTTTGGAAAAATTGTGAGGAAATGGGAAATTCAAAATTGTACAAACAACGGGTCCGAGAGGTGGGGCCTAAATGGTTATTTAGCATAAAGCTTCTTTCCTGTAACTATGAGATAGATATCAGCCATGTCCGGTTAGGACCATTTTCCTGTGATTGTGATTCGAATTTAGTACAAATGCAGGGGCTAACACTCAACAGTGCTGAAGGGGCAGGGCAAAAGGAATAACTTCATCGACCCATGGACGATCACAATGAAAATCACTGTATATACATGTATATGTATATGTCTATAGGAATCATTGATAACGTATTGCAAATTGTCTGCGATTTTATTTCAAACGATATGTGATATTCAGTAAGTGTAGTTAAGTGAGTGAAAAAGTGTTCTGTTTACTTACTTACTATTTTTTCTTCATTGTTACACATATTTTCTTAATTTCACATAAAAAAACCGAGTAAATTTTTTAGTAGGTCTATAAAAAATAAAGTCTCATAGACCTATTGTCTATGGTGTGAAAGTTCTTATTTGTAAGACTGAATGGTTTAAGTGACTTCTTCTTTGGAACTTATAAAGTTATATACAGTACCAGTGTAGTGTGGTAATATGGAGGCAGCTCATGGTGAAATGGACCTTTAAAAGTGTGGTAATATTTGGCAAGTGGTATTCTGGGATGAAGGGCTATAAAGTTTGTTCAACTTTATGTCCATGTTTGACTTTTAAGGTCACATGGGTCGAATGTGTTTAAATCTTTGAATGGGTTCTTTTGAATCAAAGATACTGATGTTTTGCCAGTAGCTTTATTTTGGTCAACTTTAAGTGTGTAAAATTAATACCAGGCGAAAGATACAGGCCCATTGGCTCTCTTGTAACCGTGCATTAGTATGGGTCATGCGTCTTAATAATGTAACAGGATCAGAAAAATGTGTGGCCAGGTTGGAGTTAAAACCTGAGATCTACCTCGTCGCCAACAATCGATCCAGTCCAGTTCTTTTACATTCACCCCTCCTTTTTCTAAGTTCTCGCCCCTAAAACACAACTATTCATAAGCCAATGTTCGGGTGTCCCCTTACCAAGCGTACTCCTTATGCTTGAAACAATGGTTGATCGCAGTGGGAAAATGCACGGCCAGACAAAAGTTTGGACTTATTATAAGTCATCTATGTAACCTCTTAACTCTATACAGACGCTCTACCAAAAGAGCTACCTGGTCGCAGACGATCGACCCAATCCAGTTCCACTACAATACATTCACAACAAACACAACTTTAAGCAGTGTTGGTATTTATCATACTTTTTATAAAGAATTGCCAATATGAACATATTAAAAAGTGCAAATGGAGGACGTTTACCCTCTTCAGAGGTACAAGAATCAGCCAAAGGCACAGAAGGATATTATAAGTCATCTATGTAACAGCATGTCTGATTTTATTTTAATGATCACATAAAACAATAAAACATGATGTTGCCCTTGGCTGTTTGTGTATCACCAGCCATATTACCCTTATGTTGAGCCTCTCTAGCGAGATCAGCTAGATGTACCACATCTGAGCTCGGAGTTGCTGAAACAGATTACAACAATGTTACAGAACCTGATTATTGTACCCCCGCAACGAAGTTATACTGGAATAACTCTGTCTCAAAACAAACGTTGATGTTACTTTAAAGCATTCACATTGAGGTTTTTTATATTAACTTTCTGAATAAGTATATACATTACTCTATTTGTCGTCTCTTCATACAGTTGCTTTTTGCTAATAAATAAGACAAATGCTTGCTAATATTATTTTATTTTTGTCAATCGTAAGACTCCCCCTGTACCAGGGCGCTGCCGCTCTCTACATTGTTCCGTTGATAGCAATACAATCAGTGGACCAGAACAGATGCCTTATATCAGGTAAGAATCACCCTGCAGGGTAGAAAACACTTATGTTATCAAGATTAGGTAATGGTTAAGGCTTGTCAATGCTCTTGTTGACCTATTCCCCGAATCATAACAAGGAAACGGTTCCGACCCCCATGCCACACACCCCACCCCATTTCCCCTTTAATTGTATATGTAATATCCACATCGTTGATTTGTTATGTATTTATATTCTCAGAGGAAGCCAATTCTACAAGACATTATGGCATGTCATTATCAAGCAATTCTAACACCGTATCCTTCGAAGGAATCGAAAATCCGGCCTTAAAACACCTGGCTATGACAAGGATCAGAGAGGTAATAACCTTATTATTGAGTAAAATCAACAGAATCTGTGGCATTATATCTTTATTATAATTATTATTTAGCCATATATAGATGATCGCAGGGGAAGATATCTGAAAATTCTGAAGACACTATCTTATAATGCAATCCCCAAAATGTCTTGCTGACCTTGGTGACAGCCCCAATGTTGATTGAGGAGTGGCTTGTTTTAGCAGTTTGCCGATCCTTACCATGTGTGACTTGTTCAGTGGTAGAGCCATGCTCACCATGTGTGATTTAGTTTTAGTGCTAGAACTCATTGTTGCATGTAAGAAAGAGGTGCAAAACAATGAAGATGGGGTAGGCCAGGTGTCTGTATTGTTCCTCTGAAATTTAATTAGCTATGCCTTATATTTATGTTTTTGTTTCGTAATTGGTTTCGTCCCTCTATATGTCTTTTTAAATATTTATTAAATATTTAGTTTATATATTGCGTTGTTACTATCAGGTTCAATGTTAGAAGAATTGCATTAACGATTAGCCAATACAATTGTATTAAACTCACTCTACCTGTATTGACAGATGGCTGGCAGTCTGATGGTGGCGGGAATAGTTCATTTTGCAATTGGAGCAACAGGTTTGGTTGGATTGGCCCTCAGAGTTATCGGCCCTGTCACCATAGTACCCACAGTCCTTCTCTCTGGTCTTTACCTGACCAGGGCGGTCACCAAGTTCAGCAAGACACACTGGGGGATAGCTTTTGCGTAATGTATTTTTGCGACTCACGTATATATATATATATATAAATACCACAGTGTTAACACATTGAGATAATGTCATTAAGGACAACAAAATGACCCGATAAAAATGGCAAGACAAAAAGTAATCAAAAGGACATAACGAACCCTTCAAAAAACAGGTTAGGAAATCAGTTTCTCATGAAGTACATCCTGCACTATATACAGCACCCATCGTATGTAAGTCATCGAAATATATCAGCGTAGTTTGAAGAATCTCCTGATGAAACCCTGGCTACGTAGTTTAAATTAAGTCTTATTTGACATCAAAACTAATACCACGCCTATTATACCTTCACAGGGATCGTAACAATGCCTAAAGTCCATTTGTTTGTAATACTAAAGCTCATAAAAAGAGATAACAGACACGTTTGATTATTTATGCTATCATTGATTTTCTAGAACCGCTGCTATGGCCATTATAATGTCAATTTACCTAAGTAAAAAGAAAACTCCTGTACCTGCATGGTCGAAGGAGAGAGGCTTCTACTGGACTCGCTATCCATTCCACCAAATGTTCGCTGTAAGTACTAAGATTATCTATTAATTATGTTTGATGCAGATAGTTACTTTATAATTAATTGTAACTGTATGTGTTGCATCTCCTCATAGCGTGTTGTTCACTGTAGGTAATCAATTCTCTATAATGTGTTGCAAATACTCAATAGCAGTTTTCCCTTAACGTAGCTCTTTCTTATTCGAATAATCTTTGTGAGAAATCGTGCCAAATGATTGCCGTGAATTCATCATCTCGTTATCACATGCTACTTGTATTTACTTTCCTTTTCAGCGTCAAACGTTTTTCTCTACATTAAGTGAAGAATTTACCATTTTTACCTAAATTTTCTAAAATTTACCTTTTTACCATGTAAATAATTTTGTCGATAAGTAGTTCATTTTAATAGTAGTGTTGGCTGGTTTTGCTGTGACACTATTTATGTCGTAGTTTATGTCAATGAAGTTATTGTTTGGCTGCCCATGTCAATAATGCTAATAGGCTGACCATTCGTTTTAAAGTCCATCGGTTTGTTATGTTCAGTAATGTTGTGGATAGGTTTTGATCGTAGATATTGTCATCCCCCAATGGTTGCTTCATACCTTTTATGAAAAATATCTAACCAACAGATCATGATTGGGATGTTATTCGGCTGGGCATTATCCGGAATCATGACTGCTGCTGATGTCATTCCGTTTGACCCCAAAAGCATCCATTTCAAGGCACGAACCGACGCCAGGGGCGATGTAGTCGAGAATGCAAACTGGTTCTATTTTCCCTACCCAGGTTTTGTATGCGTCAATGGACATTGACGTGCTAAATATATTTAACCTTACATCATTTTCCCATTGGATTCTATGCTAAGTTTGTTTTCGAAAATATTTCGTGACTTGTTTGACATCAAATTTTGATCAAAATTAATATCCTGTTAGAGAATTATCCCAGTTTCTTCCGAATAAAATACTATGGGAAAATGATGTGACATGAAAGACTGGTACGTCAGTGTATATCCCTATAGATATTATAAAATGTGTTCTGATTATTTCAAATCTCTCTCTCTCTATATATATATGACGACATAGCCTATTCAAAGAAACCCTAGTTTGATAAACTCTGACGGTACACCTTCAGTTGAATCGTCAGAATGCTCTCATTGCCAAAATACAAAACTGTTCTCTTGATGATTTTCGTACGTTCCGTCTTTTTTCGGTGAACATATGGACCTGAAATGGTAATTGATCTCGACTTCATCTCGGTTAATATATATTTTAATGTCCATACATTATTATCACATTTTCACCTCAACAAAAGTAACAAGTTCATGATAATTTATATATATAATCAGAAAGTTAATCAGGCATAACGTGAAATGACTGAACATTAGCAAATGAGTTAAGTCCCCGATGAAGTTAATATATGCGTGAAATTACAATTTTATTAGTATTTACATGTTATTCCTAGATGTTCAGGAAGGTATTCACCATTTTACTGACCTTATTAAGCTATTTTTAAGTATTTGTTTTTAATTTGATCTGTGAAATAAAGGACCCCATTACTTGGTAAGGAAAGATTAACTTTGTGAAAAAATTCCAATTTGCAAAGTTGGCATATATTCTAGTATTAGTATCAGTGAAGAAGTTTAGATAATTACTTATTTCGTAACAAGTGTGTGTCATATAAACTGTAACCAATTTACTTCCAGTTTTAAGATTTTCATCATTTAAGTGTTGTTGACAAACTAATTTTTGATTTCAATATTTACAGGTCAATTTGGAAGCCCAATATTCGAAACAGGTGCCTTCTCTGCATTTCTCATAGCGACTTTCATTTCTATATTGGACTCCATCGGGGATTACTACGCCTGTGCAATGATCTGTAACGTCCCACCCCCACCTGCACACGGTGTTAATCGCGGGATAGCTATCGAGGGACTATGCACTGCCCTGTCAGGGGCTATGGGATGTGGTCATGCTACTTCTACCCAAGGCGGCAACATAGGAGCTATCGGCATAACAAAGGTATGGTGTTGCTATCTGTATTTTGCTAAATCAGTTGAAGTGTCAAGGTTAAAACATATAAACAAGCAATACTTGCATGAGAACGCATTAGGATTTCTTATTTAAATAAAGATACAACGTAATATTTACCAACGAATTAATTCCACATGGAGTATTTCAATGTCGATAAAAGCATATATATATATAAAGCCTTTATAAATCCTAAATCAGAATCAGCATTTTACCTTTGTGTTATTTTTTTTTTTTGTGTATGTATTTTTGCAAATTTGATTTTTTAATTATTGATATACGTACCTGACTGCACATTTCAATTATTACGCATAACGATAATATAGATAAGTTTGCATGTCGATTCATACAAACATTATGTTAGCCACACCAATACATTGCATGTCACTGAGAAAAAAGGAATACAAGGTATGCATAAACACGTGCCGCTTCGTTCTTACTCAGTCAGACTTTGTATTGTTCATGAGAGCATATATGTCATTAAAAAATAATTTAGCATTTTAAGTCGATCTGTTTGGTACTATTGAAAGAAACATGTGTCTAACAGATAGCGATACTTCATCACTTTCTGTATAATTCAGCAAACTGATTTAGCTTTTGTTTAGTGATGAAAGTATGACACTTTGGGTCCATTTCGTAAGCTTAAATGTCATTATCATTTAAACTGAAAAAGGTTTAGGCGACAACAATACATTTCAAGGCTAATCATAAACTGATGGTCATGAATTTTTAGAAAATTGATAGAAAAAAAATCACATATCTCTCTCTTTAACAGTTTTATTTTGAAAACAAAATACAGTATTACTAAAAGAATATTTCCCTATCTTGAGTGTGTGAGAGAACTCTCCAACCCGAGGGGTGATATTCTTGATTGTCTTACCCCTAGACTTTGACGAGAGAAAGGATATTCGAGAATATCATCCCGAGGGTTGGACATTTCTCTGTCACACTCTCAAGGAAAGGAATAATTGTTTTCTCCCATCTTAAATATAAGCGTTGATTGCATAGACGACTTTATTGATGATCACTAACTTTCTATCCTTAGAAGTAATACACTGTCAAACTTATGGAGCTTGCATGCATGCCGCAGCATGATTCATTTTGGACCAAAACATATTTGTGTAAGAGAGCCATAACAGCAGATTAACATGTAATCAAGGTTCTCTACCGGAAAAGCTACGCTGAGGAAACTTAACTGTCTACAGAAAGACCACCTTACCGACTTTGAGTTTCAGTGTTTCACACGATTAAAGAGAAATATATTGTCCCGTATATATTGCTGGTGTTTTTAAAAGATATATCTATTTTTCATTTCTATTTTGAACACATACGTGCTGAAACTGAGCTCCATATTGTTTTTCATTTAGCTTTATTAAATAGGTGGTTTGTAATAAAGTGTCAGTTATTTATCATAAGCTGGTTCAAAAGTTCGTCATAATTAAAAGCAGTCTAATGAGCAAAATTAAATATATTGACCTTCATATCACACAAAAAAGTATAACATTTACTCTGTGTTATGTCCTTTTTGTCTGTAGGTGGCCAGTCGGAGTGTGTTTCTCGGTGCCTCCATCATCTTCATCCTTTTCGGTTTGGTGGGTAAGGTGTCGGCCATTTTTGTGACAATGCCCTACCCCGTACTAGGAGGAGGAATGCTTGTTATGTATGGGATGTTTACGGGAGTGGTCCTGTCTAATCTCCAAGTCGTGTCCCTCAAGTCCACCCGGAATCTCGCTATTATCGGAATCTCTATCTTGTCTGGTTTGATGATTCCCCGTTGGATTGAGACGACGCCTGATGCTATTGATACAGGTGTGTTACGATTTACCTCGCCTCTCCTATTTTTGTGTGAGTTCGTGATGTCTTTCCTTATGTTTCGATGTTTCTAGGAATATTTTTCATATCTATGATTGTAAGATTTCGCCCTTGTGAGTTGATCCCGCTGTATGTTTTCCTAGTATACACTACTACAAGATAAAACACGTTAATAACAAACCTAAAAGAGAGAATTTTGCTCGCTATATGAACTTGATGTTTCTTGGGTGCCTTTCGGCATGGTATTTCAGTGAGATAGCACTATAAAGTCGGCATCAGATCCGCGCTATCACAATGAGGCAAGCACACCAACATACCATGTCTCCTGTATACACACACGCAAGCACGCATTAACTACACAAATGGAGGAACGTCCTTAAATGACCTTAGCTGTTAATAGGACGTTAAACAAAATTAAACCAAACCAAACAAAATCGTTCTTATATATATTTCTGGAATACTCTTCGGTCAGTTATGCCCGTTATTCCCAGAAAATATTTTCAACTTAGATAATAGGACGTGTGTGAGTGGGATAATTATGTTTTAATTCCCGTCTGAGTACCTTCGTTCCAATTGCAGTGAGTTGAACAGGTCGATGATAGGTTCCAAGTGTCAGTCAACAACAGCTATTTGTAATTCAGTACACGCATTCGTTTTGAATTGTCTATTTCTGGCAGTAATTGTGACTTCTAATGACATTAACTAATTGAGACATCTCTATTAATTCATGAGATGGCTTAAGACTAAGATATATCATATTTCTTCATGATATGAGGTGTTTATTTAATTCAAAAATATCTTAATTACATTTAAAGCCATCTTCAATACCCTTTAAAGATATCTTTATCAATTTAAAGATTCGTCCTTTTTTCATATACGATATTGGATTTAAATACATTTTTAATTCCATCTGTTATACAAAAGGGATCTCTCATACTTTTGATATCAGTCATTCCTTATTGATTTTGAGTTGTCTTACATGTACCGTATAAATACCCCTTTCGAATGCTAGAAGAATTCACAGAACGCTTTCTATTTTTCAAAAAGTGAAATGTTGTCAAAACTTAGCGGGAAACTGTCTTTCGTTTTCTTTCAATTGTTTCTTCAATACGTTTTTTTACGACTATACAAAGTTTTTATCCTGTTTGTCTATCACTCTTTTCTGTCAGGAAACCTGACTGCAGATAAAATACTGAAGGTACTACTTGCCAACCCCAATCTGACTGGAGGTATCGTATCGTGTCTCCTTGACAACACAACTCCAGGTAAGGGCAGAACTCAGTATGGTGTTCATAGCATAATGAATGTTATAACTGATGGCGTCATATCATGTATCCTAGACAACACAACCCCAGGTAAGGGTAGTACTCAGTATGGTGTCCATAGCATTATGAATGATAAAACTGGTAGCATCATTTCCTGTCTCCTTGACAACACAGCTCTAGGTAAGGGAAGTATGGTGTTCATAGCACTGTGGATGTTATAACTAGTGTCATCATACCATAAGTCCTTGGAAACGCAACTCCAGGTAAGGAAGTATATCATTCATGGCACTGTACAATATAACTGGTTTATCGCATCGTGTATTTCCGATAACACAGACCCAGGTAAATGACAGTGTGGTGGTAATGACAAAGTGAGCATTTTAAATCATGCCATTCATTTGCGATTCATATTTATTTTTTGGGATTTTTTTGGGGAAAATGCAAAAGCAGTTTTGTTTAATTTATGAGCGTACGTTTGTAGTCACGGATGTAAAAGCTTGTTTAGCAATACAGAGAAATGGATACAATTTGTCTAAGACATCGTTTTTTTCTGTTTCTTCATGTCAGCAACATTACAAGAGAGAGGGATCTCTGCATGGCGTCCACAACACAGTGTCAAACAAAACGGTGACGACAAAAACTCATCGTTCATCATGGAGCAGAGTTCGCGTAGCGAGGGACTTGAGGTGTATGATCTACCGTTCTCCATTAGATGTATTCCAGAAAAACTCCTCAAATACATACCGTTTCTACCTCGGCCAAACAATAGCCAAGAAATATTCCCTATGCCACAGTTCAATGTATGATGCTGAACATAGAGAATTTTATGTACACCTTTAGGAAATTATTTGGTATAATGGTGTTGTAATTACAAGGACGTATCTATATGCACTGATAATCATATTTAAATAATATATATAATATAAAAATATGGTATTATTTATGTTAGTGATTTTGTATGTATTAATTGGTTATTTAATATATGGAAATTAATTCTTTGTATATGTGTTTATATTTTCCCCATAAATTTTGCCAGTAAATAATATTTTTATCGAAGACTTTTCTTGTAATCGACTTGTATTTATAAAACTCGTACTGATAACCCGTAACCTGTCGTCCGGGTGGAGGAAAGGGATTATTCATAAAGATATACACTCATTATTTTTTTTTAAATTTCTAACTTAATTCATTTTATGATAGTCATCAAAGCTATCCTTCGTTTTATACGATTGGTGCTTTTAAACATAAGAATTCGTTACATGTTTTAGGGAAGATCACCCTGCTGGTTTATCGATCTGTGATCAACCAAGAACAAAAGCCACGCTAAATTCACTTTATTATATGTTAATGCAGGGTAACATGAGTTTCCTAATTCGTACGTTAAGTACTGCGTCTGACTGTCGCTTGCGCCGAAAATATCGTTACAACGTCGTTGCATTGAACATGTTGACCGACGGATAAGGTTGTGATCATGTTGTGTCATTCAACGCTTGAGCCAGGACCGTTTTCGTTTAAACGGTTAAACCGGTCGGACCACAGTTATTCGATTTTTAAATAATGTCGGACCTAGAAATCTGATGCTGCTTTCAGGCGAGCCTTGACAAAGGATTGCTAGGCCTGTATATACCCGAAATTGTTACATTTATAAAAGGACAAACCGGTTGTTCCGCATAAACGAACAGGCCACAGGTCATGTCAACGAGATGTTTCCTAGTCCGAATTATTCCGACGCTTTATCGACTTTCTTTTTTATATCGGTCTGTCGTTAATCGACGACAGACCGATATAAAAAAAAAGTCGATAAAGCGTCAAAATAATTCGGACTAGAAGTTTTCTAACATGTCGGATAAGTATTTCCCGAACTTGTTTCACCTTTAACTTTCCAAACATGTAACTATAAGAAACCACAGACTCTTTCCTTCTTTCGCTCCATATCGTAACATTTAACTTTTGTAAATAATGACAATGAATTGATAATCACTTTCTTAATAAACATTGACCTTCAGTTAAAGGTCAAGACTTAAAATTCAATGATCGTTTGTGCTCTGTTAGCAGTAACTTTACATCCTCCTCTGTAACATGAGTTTACAGTGTATTTCATTTTTGGGATTCTGTATCGATTACTAAATTTTAAAGGTGAAATCACCAGTGTGTATAATTTTCAAATATGTACTTCATTTCTTTGTATTTCCATTGATGACTTACGTAACAATTTCGTTGACTCTTCTGATGGACTATAGCTATCATTCCACGAGGTTGGCCGTAACCTTGAAAACAGAACTTATTTTGGCAGCGTTGTCATGAAACGCTAGTTTAAATATAAAGTATCTGTTCATGCAAAAAATTGTAGTAAATTTGTAACGACATGATAGGGGTTTATAGGCACCTTTCCATTGTTTATTGTTTTGCTCATGTTTCGGAACATTTCCGACAGAGTCTTTTGACCTTTGCACTATTGACAAGTCCTTAATTGACAAATGGTCACGTGGGACAGTTTTAAAAATGGTTGTTTGGCTTTCTGCATCTACAATCAATACATTTAAAAAGGTGCCTCGCTTTCTTGTATGTTTGGAAATTATATTCTGGAATGTGGAATCAACTGTCACATGCAAAGTCATTCTTAATCAGGAGATGATTGAATGCTACTGCTAAGGAAAAAAATCGTTTACGATCATGAATTTAAATTCATCCGTCATATTTAAAAGTTTTACATGTCCTAGGGGATAACTGAAATGCAAGAAAGACAGATCATATATAAATACATAACAACAAATACATTCAAATCGCCTGAAGAGCCCCAAAATGGGCATAGGCTAGCCGATTATACTAGTCTTCCTGTTTTGTTTTATTTATAAAAGTGGAAAACTAAAATCGGGTATATACATTTATCTCCTCACTTTGAGAGCTAGACTTTTCGAGTTCAAGTTAAAAAAAAGCCATTTGTCAAAGCTAGCAGTGCAGAGTTATATAGGTCACATTTCAATAGAAATATTAATCAATTGACAAAAATACCATCGACCATTGCTCCATATGTATATTTCTCCCGATATTATGAACAAAAATCTGACCTGCAAAATACGTAGGACGTGTGTGTGTGTGTGTGTGTTATATTTATTCTTATTTTCCAATTTTGTAATCTAACATTTACTTGTTAACCCTTTTAACCCTATGTAACTTTAGTAGACTCTACCATGCATTGATCTGGAAGAGTCCATTATGGTCTACAGCGGTGAAAGGGTTAAGGTGGTGAAAGAACTACAATCTATTGCAGAGGTATCTTTATACAAAATGTAACCAATTCTATAACTACATACAAGTGTAGGATACAACGGAAAACATTCAAAACGACAGTCAACAGGTCAGTCCAACTAGAAAGCAAAAAACAAATTTCCTGGATTTCTAAAAACAGTGCAACAAAGATTTCAAAATGAACAAAAAGAAATAAAATCAAGCAATACGTTTGGCCATATATTAATAATTTATTCATTTACTTGTAGAAATGAGCAATTATCTACAGAAATATTCAACTACTATTATTATTACTACAATAACTAGCTATCAATGGATAACTAGTATACATGCCTACAAGTTTGAACTTCTCGTTGTCATGGTAACACTACATCATTTAAAAATGAAATATTTCGTCACAGTATAATTTGATTTTTTTTATCAATTTTGTTTTCTGAATTTTTCCATACACTTATTTCAACAAAGAAAATATATAAATGTATTTTTATAAACATTGATATTTCATTTCGTCAAAGAAAAGGTAAATAACAACAAAAATAGAGAAAAGCTACACATTTTTCATTCACTTGCTAAATGACCTCAATACAGCCATATTGTGCGTTAAATGAACATAGACTGTACTGTTCTAAGAATTTAATTACTTCCAAAAGTAAACAAAATGTGATATATTATTCCACATTTGGTGGTACCTCTTTGCAACGAAAACTTATATTTTGTATGATAAAGAACTTTGACAATTATTAAGCACTCACCATATCGTGCAGTCATTTTATAAGTCGGCTTTTCACTGCACAACGTACTGTAAGAATTGCCTGACATAACATGTACATATTTTCCAAAAACCAGTTTCCACATGTAATTAACAATAACTGAAAAAGTACATAGATACATGTAATGCGTATTACAAACACTTACTGATGATATTAGTGAACACTTCAATGATGAAATTCCGTCTTTGTGTATTGCAGAGTTATCTTCTCTTGGGAGCAGGTATTGATTGTTCCATCACTTGTTCGTGAGAGTAACGTCATCAATTTGTGAGAAGACGACGTAATTTCCTCGCACAAACCAATGATGTAACAATCAATACCGGCTCCCAAGAGAAGATAACTCTGCAATACGCAAAGACAGAATATTTCAAGAAAAGAAAAACAAGATGAGATTCAAAGCGATCACTCTCTGACATAAACCATACAAAAAACTCGTATTCTGAGAGGTTTTCGAAAATTATTTAAGGACTGTTCCATGATTTATCGTGTTTGGGAGATGGGAGGCACCTGTATTTATTTATTATGGGTAGTGGTGTTAAAACCAGATCTGCCTCCCATTCCCTATAAATAAAATCACTTTTAAAATTTTATGGTTGGTGGGGTCTCTGAAAAAGTCCCTCCATTACTCATTCAGTAAATCTTTATTTAACTGTGCAGTATAATTTCACAAAAATCAAATTGGAATTTTTACAAAATAACTTATTTTAAAATAAATGTATTTCAGTAAAGTATTTAAAAGATGTAAAGCATTTCAAAGACAGATTTTGCACATAAAAAGTGCTAATATTAATTTATTTCATTTAGAAGTCTTAGTTAAATGTTCCTCACTCACCCCTGTTTCATAATGAAATATTCCAATCTTTCAATTGGAAGGGTTCAAATGTGTCTTCAGGGGGGAATGAGTTAAGATAACTTCATCGAATTTGATCTCTGACCGCTGCTACATGGGTGTAATAAGGGTTTCAAAGCATTAATATAGTGAAAACAGGAAGATCGCTCACCTCCCGTTTACTTTGCAGTTTTCAAATGAAGAAATTGGACGGAATGTCAAATACAAAAAGGAATGCAATACAGTACACAACATGGTCAAATACAAATGAAAGGTCAAACATACAAAAATGAATGTTCATGATCATAGGTCAAATACAGGCACTACATGTTAACACTCAGTGTGTAGTTAATGAGGTATCACAGATTTACATGAATTTACCACAGTAGAGGCACTAGCTTGGGTGGTCGGGTGACACAGTCGATAGGGCACTCGCATTTCACCAAGATGGCGGAAGTTTGATTCCTCGATTGGATGTGGAAAGGTATAGGGGTATAGGGTCACCTGCCAGACTACCTGGGTTTTCTCCGGGTATTCCGATCTTCCCATACTGAGACCTCTCCCCACCCACACACTTACATCCAGACCAACAAGAGTGATTAATATAAGCTGAAATAACTTGTTTCATAATTAATTAGTTTAACGCAGAGCCAACGCCTTGTTTCTTCAATGGTGGAATAATGTGGTCCTCTGCCCTTTGTCTGGATACGTGAAAATATGCAGGGTGATTGAGTAAAATGGGTCACATAGACATAGATTCAATCACAAAAGGCAAATATTCAGAGGCACTTATACATTTAGTTTAAACAGTATTTCATTCAATAATCAGGCACATTTAACTGTACCATGTATGGTACCAGCAAGAGGCTTACTTTAACAATAACTTCAGACATCAGCTCAGTTTTTGTCACTATTGATGATACATGTACAAATGTTGAAAATCATGATTCAAATGAGAATGTCATCAGGTACCTGTACATGTACTTAATCATTCAAACAAATATTGCAAAAAAAGCTACTTTTCTTTCAACAAGAATTTCCATAATTCATCAAAGCATTTGACGGGAAAATCATGATTAAAAAAATATGTTCAATGGAATAAGAATGAATGGCAAGTGTTAGTATAAATGGACATGGGAGAAAGGTAATTATAAGGCAATTTCTCTAAGTTGTTGGTCATTTTCAGTGAAACATACAAAATCTTAAATGCATTTTTACATATGATACTGCTGTAACAAATACAAAAAATCTTTTTCTTAAGCATTAGTTTCAATACAGAGTTAAAACATTTTCAATTATTTTCATCAATATTGTATCAAATGGTTTAAGATTCTGTTTATCATGGTGATGCTGAATCAAGACAGCATTTCTAGAAAAGTAGTTTTTTTTCAACTAAGAGACTTAACTTTCACTTAATTGTAAGAATACTATGACATTACTTGATTTTTCTAGACATCAAATTGATCTTTGTAATTTTATCACTTTTAAAAAATGAAAGTAAAAATAGTTAGTTTCCTTATTATTTCAGGGTATCGTGTGCCCTTATACAGATTCTATACTAAAAGCTATATTTATGAAAACTTAACTTTCATTCCTCCTGATCATTTAGAACTAATTGTAGGGCTACATTTCCATATCCCGGTTGAAACGGTACGTGTGGCGCAGAAATATTCCACGATAAACGAATGCACTTGGACCGGTCTATAAGCAGAGCTAAAAATGCACAGTTTCAGAGAATAAAAAACAGTGTATCAAGAATAGTATGCCCTTCTTTTATCTGTCTACTGAATTACGTGAGGTATCTTAAAAAACTACAAGTGGCTTGACATTGTTTTAGAAAGAAAAAACGCAAACTAGCCATAGTCAGCATTTTAGCTTTGGTCAGGTACCATTGGATTCCTCAATCAACACATTTTCCTGAGGTCAGCCTCGGTTCAAATCTGTGCCTGTTTTTTCTTAACAGGTTCAACCAGTTCAACTGTTTCAATCGGATACGCGAATGTACCCTTAGTGAAATGTGTTCCTGTGATAATTTTCTGGATTGCTGAAGAGAATATATTGCAGGTCTATCTTGGTGGTAAAGCAGAATTTGACATTTAGTGAAACCTTCATCCAGTAAACATATAAAATAGGTTCTCATGTTCCCTCATGCAAATATTGAGAAAGAGTTCCAACAAAGGAAGAGGTTGTCTCCCTTCAGAGTGGATCTAAAGATAAGTTTCCCTCAATGAGACAAACTCTCGACACATTCTGATACAGTAGGAGATACATGACCACTGTTCCATAGTGTTTACAAAGTTACAGGTACAAGGTCTAGATCAGCATTATTGATGCTTATAAATTACTTCTGGGTCATTTTTAGTCAATTATTCATGCAACATTATCGATGGTTCCATGAAAGAGCAAGACCATAGTAATCCACAGCTGGTAGTGAGAACTCAAGTCAGCTTTGAGCAATATTTTCAAATTTTGATTCTCTAGGTAAACTTGATGTTCATTAACATCTAGAAGTCGTCCTCATGGTAAAGTGAGTAATCTTCGGCGCCCCATGATTCTTTAGCTGGAGCTACAGATGACCGTTTGGCCTTCTTCTTCAGTCCACTCTTTGGTCGGAGTCCACCGTCTGTAGAACCTGATCCAGGACGGCCAGAGCTTGGGCGTGAAAACCGACTGCTTGGTCCTGTAAACAATAAAAAAGCAGATAACTAACCATATTTTTTGCATTTGAGGAACATTTTTTTTTAGTGAAGAACATGATTTTACCATACTATGGTGTAAATATACACTTAATCTGTCAAAAGGTTTGTAAGATATATTATTATACCTCAGCTTTATAACAGCGTATCTGATTGGATGACACTGGTAACATGACGGGGCAATAAAACATCATGTGGTCCTAATGTGCTCAAATTTTTCCCAATCAAATTACCCTTACTCAGAGCATCTCTAGAGAAATAGTCAAGAGCCACCACAACCTAGTTCCGAATGATGGAAGCAGACGACAACAATGGTGCGTCAACCTGATCATCTCTACTTTTGTGTTAATGTTGCTTCACCCTCTTGAAACATGATTAACCTTGGAGAAAGTAAGTAGACGACTATTCATATTTCCCTGGTGATGAACCAAATTTGTTAGTATAGAACGTGCTGTTACCATTCTATGGTGTAAACATAAACTTAACCTGTCGAGGAGTTCATGAGATATATCATCTTGTACACAAACCTTATACTACGAATGTTGTCACAAATGCATGCACACATACACAGACTGACAAAGTGATAGCAATAAACTGGTAACCCTTCCATTGAGTACAAATTAAATACAACAGAAATTGAGGACACATCAAAAAGAAAAGGAAGGACATGAACAATCAACCTATACCAAATGTGGTACCTGTCAGAGATTATTTGTTTGTGTTTTACGCCCTATTAACAGCTATATGGCCATTTAAGGATGTGCCAGTTTTTCTGTGGTGGAGGAAAGCCGGAGTTCTCAGAGAAACACCACCAACCTGCGGCCAGTACCTGGCAACTGTAAGACTTACTGTTTTCTGGTTCATCCATATACTGGTCCATTTGTAGGTCTGTCTTGGCTCTCTGCATTCCGTCCTTCAACTCCCTAGCAAGCTTGCGTGCTTTTTTCTGATTTCCACCTGTCAAAAAATTATCAAAGCATATTGAATTTTGTTTTTAAAGGATTTTTTTTTTTTTTTTTTTTAAATATATCAGCACTGTCCTTAGCTTAATTGTCAAGGTCATGATCATCTATCAATGCTTTCACTATGAGCTCATCATTGCAGTTAAAGTTGGTTGTCTTTGATTTTCTTAGCAGCAACATTTGAATTTAAATACTTCACAAACTTAAGTAAAGCATACCACAAAACAAATAAATAAAACTTGCCTCAGTTTGTATGTCATATTTAATATTTAAAACAACACAGAATATGGGTTAACATGTAAATTATATGTTAACAAATGAAGAAATAAGAAAAGGAAGGAAATAATAATGATCCAAAATATTTCAATTGGTTCGGCAGAGCATGGGTGGAGCAAAATTCATTATTAAGGTAATAGGATTGTGTCACCATTTCTAAGTAGAATTTTTTCAAATTGCTTTGAAGTAAAGAACATTTTCTGTCACAAAAAAAATTGGTTGTCAGAATTTTCAGGATTTTAAATGGAAATTCATGTAAACAGGAGTGAATTTTGACCCAAAAAATGAAAGACACAATTTTATGCAAAATAATGACAATAAATAAGATACTGACGTAGATTAGTATTGCGTTAATGTATATAAATGTAATAAATGCTGAAATTGTGTAAAATTAATTATCTATAAATGATCAAAAATTGACATTTTATAATAAAACCATTTACACATAGTAATTGCATGTAATAGTTATCTTTCTTGAAAAACTTCAAGGTAGTGAAATAGGTGGCTGGTTTCCTGAAGTACAGAAAAATGGACACATGTGACTCATTGATAAAAAAACAACTGAATTAATGCCTGGATTGCTTTGAAATACTTTAATATTGAGAGAACACACTGTTCTGCCAATAATAAACATACATTAGAATATGTGGAAATTGTGATACTGTCTCCCTACATTGGATTTTCAACTAGGGATGTACTTCTTATATCCGTTTATCAATGCACTCCTATGACCTTAAGCATAGAACTCAGAAAGAAAATGAATTTAAAGGAGGATCAACGTTAATAGTAGTCACTTTAATATTAAAGTCCTGTAGCGGGATAATCTTTCAAAGTTTCCATGAGCGTATAGAAGACATAAAATTCTGTCCTACAAGAATCACACTAATACTAACCAATGTTGGCAGAATCCACTGTGTCCTGTATATCATCTTGGGACATTCCACTAGTTGCTGCTAACTGCGTAATAAACTGTTGTTTTTGGTTCTGGAAAAACAACATGGATATCCTTAGTTTTAAATCCTACATGTTATGAACATGATGACATTGTGCTCTCGTTTCTTTGAATGACATTTAAGTGTGAGCCTGTCGAGTATTTTCTAACCTGCTACATCCTCACTATATCTTACTTTAGCTGTACATTTTTAGCTATTTTTCTACACACTTTGAGCCCCTTACGTTGAGCTCTGCCTCAAGCTTAAACTAGAACCCAGTAAAGCTTCTCTTTACACTGGTCTATTTCCTTTACACACTTTGAGCCCCATTACATTGAGCTCTGCCTCAAGCTTAAACTGGAACTGCCTGCTAAGCTCCTTGTGACACTTTTTCTATTCCTCTTACACACTTTGAGCCCATTACATTGAGCTCTGCCTCAAGCTTAAACTAGAACCCAGTAAAGCTTCTCTTTACACTGGTCTATTTCCTTTGCACACTTTGAGCCCCATTACATTAAGCTCTGCCTCAAGATTAAACTACAACTGCCTGCTGAGCTCCTTGTGACTCTTTTTCTATTTCCTTTACACACTTTGAGCCCCATTTCTTTGAGCTCTGCCTCAAGATTAAACTACAACTGCCTGCTGAGCTCCTTGTGACACGTTTTCTATTTCTCTTACACACTTGGAGCCCCTCACATTGAGCTCTGCCTCAAGCTTAAACTGGATCTGCCTGCTGAGCTCCTTGTGACACGTTTTCTATTTCTCTTACACACTTTGAGCCCCTTACATTGAGCTCTGCCTCAAGCTTAAACTGGATCTGCCTGCTGAGCTCCTTGTGACACTTTCTCTATTTCTCTTACACACTTTGAGCCCCTTACATTGAGCTCTGCCTCAAGCTTAAACTGGATCTGCCTGCTGAGCTCCTTGTGACACTTTTCTATTTCCTTTACACACTTTGATCCCCATTACATTGAGCTCTGCCTCAAGCTTAAACTAGAACCCAGTAAAGCTTCTCTTTACACTGGTCTATTTCCTTTAAACACTTTGAGCCCCATTACATTGAGCTCTGCCGCAAGATTAAACTAGAACTGCCTGCTGAGCTCCCTGTGACACTTTTTCTATTTCTCTCACACACTTTGAGCCCCTCACATTAAGCTCTGCCTCAAGCTTAAACTAGAACCCAGTAAAGCTTCTCTTTACACTGGTCTATTTCCTTTACACACTTTGAGCCCCATTACATTGAGCTCTGCCGCAAGATTAAACTAGAACTGCCTGCTGAGCTCCTTGTGACACTTTTCTATTTCCTTTACACACTTTGAGCCCCATTTCTTTGAGCTCTGCCTCAAGATTAAACTAGAACTGCCTGCTGATCTCCTTGTGACACTTTTTCTATTTCCTTTACACACTTTGAGCCCCATTACATTAAGCTCTGCCTCAAGATTAAACTATAACTGCCTGCTGAGCTCCTTGTGCCACTTTTTCTATTTCTCTTACACCCTTGGAGCCCCTCACATTGAGCTCTGCCTCAAGCTTAAACTAGAACCCAGTAAAGCTTCTCTTTACACTGGTCTATTTCCTTTGCACACTTTGAGCCCCATTACATTAAGCTCTGCCTCAAGATTAAACTATAACTGCCTGCTGAGCTCCTTGTGGCACTTTTTCTATTTCCCTTACAAATTTTGAGACCCTTACCTTGAGCTCTGACTCAAGTTCAAGCTGTAACTGCCTGTTGAGCTCCTCCTTGCTTCGTTCCAGTTCGAGCATCATTTCCTCTTCCAGCTGCTGTACCTCACGGCTGTGTTTCTGCTGCAGGAATAGAGTTCCCAGCACATCACTGGCCTTACTGGAACCCAAATTATATCTCATTCGAACAAAGTCTTGTAATTGTAATTAATTAAGCAAGGTACATTGGCCTTCCCCCGCTGCAAACCGGGTCTATTTGGGTAAGTCAAAATAAGCAACCAAGGTGTTTTTTCTTGATGAATTGCACATTTTTCAAATGCGAACAATGCCTTTCTTCATCATATCCAACCTCTCAAAAGTGATTAATTTAAAATGAAGTAACAAATTTTTTCCTGAGCTGATTCAACCATCAAATATGGGTAATCTCAATGTTAATTGAAATAAACAATTTGAACATTTTCAACTTCAATTGACCTGAATTTTTTTCTCCAGTGCATTTATATATATACACAAAAATGAAGTAATTGTAAAATGCAAATCAACTCTTTCACCCCTATTTAACTTTAGTAGACTCTACCATAGATTTATCTGGATGAGTCCATTGTGGTTCACAGTGGTGACAGGATGAGCATTTTGTAATCGAAATCAATCCTTATTAAAAACAAATTGGATTTTGTTGGAATAAACCAATCATTAGATGTACAATAGAACTTTGTTAAGCTAGACTCTGACAGTCTGGGGAAATTTGTTCCCCTTTCTGGATACAATTAATGATCCAGATTTTGATATTTGATAGAAATGAGTATGCATATCGTACACTTGAAGTGTCTACATGATAACAATAAATATGTTTTGTTTTATATAAGTTTACCTAGCCCCTCTTCGCCGTAAAGAGCCGCTCTTTTTCTGTTGTGTCTCCGCGCCCATCTTTTCGTGTAATTCTCTGAAAGAAACAAGCAAACAAACTTGTTAGATTTTACACACATGCAATACATTTTGAAACTTTTTCACTATTAAATTTTTAATAGCTCTAAGGAAAGAAAAGTTTTACAACAGCATATATAGGAAAAATGATATGGCTAGACCTGAATCCAAACCCCGGACCTCCAATCTCTAGACAGATGCTCAAAGATGCTCTGACCAATTAGGCCACCTGGTCGTCAGAGATCCTCCCAGTCCAGTTACAGGATACTTAATAAGCATGCTTTTTCAATAGTTTGATAGGAAATTGATATTTTAAAACACAGCATTGATAACAATATTAAAAAAAAAATCTCCTGAAGCTCGGATATGTTATACTTATACTTTGTTCATTAACTGAAAATATATTCCTTTATGATAATAATTGTTATACACATTGCAAAGCTTTGTTAAAGCTGACAATGCATGTTAGAAATCACTGATAAGTAAAGGTATATACCATACAAAATTGTAATGGTTCTTGTTGAGACAACTCCTTCCAATCATTGTTTAGCACATTGTGAGACTACTGGTGCGTTGCATTTTGCTGATCCTTTCACCATTGCTATATGACTATCCTCGATACTCCAGGAGTCAAAAGGTCAGTCACTATATATACATTACACCGGGAAAAAAATCAACAAAGTGCTGCCTATTTGTATGGAAATGTCTCAACAAAAAAAACAATTTGCATCACAGCAAACCAATCAATTTTCCCATTTGGGAAGAATATCATTACAAGTTTTTGAAACAATACATGTATATACATCGTATGATATGAAATATGACACACATGTAGATATTTTAAAACAATTAAGTATATGTTAAACTACATCACAGGAAAAACCTGTTGCAGTGTTAATGAATGTCAAAGCTAGATGTAACACTGACCAAAGCACAAGAAATAACCGCATTTCCACTTTGTATATCTTTTTCATTTTCATGTAAATCATTTGTCTTTCTGATTTCTGATTGGTGGAAAAATTCTTTTCATTGATCTATGAAAGAAAAAAAAATAAGTCACACCCTACGGAACTACTTTCGCTATGTATCATTGCACACGTGCCACTACTGAAAATGAGTTTATTAATTTTATTTGTTATGGTTTCATTTCAAGACAATTCGTTGAATTTAATTACAGTATGCTGTATAAGCATCGAGTTTGATTTATTTGATTTTCATTAGAGTATGAAAAGAATTGTTTTTTGCAAACTTAGAAAGAATCTGCGATGAGGATTCATACAGTTAAAAAAAAAAAAAAAAACATACCCCAATGAAAATTTAAAAAAAACAATGCTTAAATGGAAGTATAAAACTTTCTTCAGCTTTTTATTATGGATGCTGCATGGAAATTAAACTGAAAAAAAAATTGTAACAGCACATGTAATTTGGTGAACCTCTATAAAAAATGCAAGAAAATAATAACCCCAAAATATAAATATTTTTCTTATCATGTTCACAAAGGAACAAAAAAATACAGGTCACTGTGGCCTAATTTTAGCATGTGATGCACCTTCAACCAAAGATGTAACATGCAGCAGTTTTATGATGTAAACCATCAGGAAAGTACAAAGGACCTATGGTCAAGAAACAATTTTCTCCCACCATTCACAGGTGTGTCTTCCGTTTTGACTGGGAAAGATCAGCTTGTCACCCGATTAACACATGTTCAATTTAATTGTGACGTTATTAAATGTGTCGCCGGTAATTGTGACGTCATCAACAGTTTACAATACTGTCAGTGGAGTTGTGACTGAAATAATAGGATGGGAGAAAAATAATCAGGAGAAAAATAATCATCCCCTACCTTGAATGTGTAACAGAGANTATCTCCCGTTTTGCCGGTGCTAGATTTATCTGTCTCCGCCCTAGGGTTGAGACGGGGGGATTCCCCTATTTATAACAATGGTATGACGTCACTGCAACAATACAATGACGTCACGTCAACAATCCATTGACGTCACGTCAACAATCCATCAACGTCACGTCAACCCTGAATTTAGCATGTAACGTTATCATTGCATTGTGTATATGATACACACTGGGGAAAACAGGGTACATGTAAGAGAAAAAGAATCATTCACCCCCTTGTGGTTAAGATAGGGGAATATCAACCCTCGGGGAAAGATTCTTAAGTTGCCAAACACTCGGCAAAGCCTCGTGTTTGGCAACATAAGAATCTTCCCCCTCGGGTTGAGATTCCCCTATCTCACCCCAAAGGGGGTGAATGATTCTATTAATCTCCAACCCTCGGGGTGATATTTTTGGTTGTCTAGCCCTCGGCTTCAGACAATGATGCACAAACATGAACACTATATGTAAATAACTCCCATTTTAAAAGCAGTGCTATAACAAGCCACTGTTGAGATCATTTCACTTTTTGATCTCTGGCTTTAAGTGGAGCATTGAACTCTTGTTATTTTTCATACCAATTAGGGTCACAAAAAGTGAGAAACAAAAGCTGAACTTAAGAGTAGCAGTACTTTGATCTTCCACCACCATAGCCGCCATTAATTAAGCAGATTGAGTACCATATGTATCCCAGCCAATAAGTTTATATTGATGACAGTGTGCCAAGCTATTTATTAAAATCATCAAAGCTTCAAGATCTTAGTTGAACATTAAAAAGGCATTAGAAACATCAGAACATCTAACAATTAAAAAATAAATACTCGACAGATACATCATACCTTTTTTCTGCCAACTCCCTGTGTTAAAATACAAAACGAAATGATGTACAATGTCTCGCTAAAAGTACTCATCATGACAGAGGTTATAACAAAGAATAATCAGAATGCCTTAGCCTTCAAAATAACAGTATTCATTGTCTTCTATTGTCGCTAATTGTGTGCCATTTAAATCTCTTTTGTTTATAACAAGTTATCTCCCCTTGAGTGCCACCTTCCTTTTGATTTGTAGCCTCATGGTCTGTGAAGGACATGAGTTATATCTCTTTGGGGTCCCCAATCTCTACCTTTTAAAGCCTTATGGCCTCGATCTGACATCGGTTATATCCCCTTAGGTACAACCTATCTCTTTCTCTGTAACATTATGGCCTCTGTCTGATATCAGTTATCTCCCTTTAGGTACAACCTACCTCTTTCTCTGTGACCGTATGGCCTCTATCTGACATCAGTTATCTCCCCTTAGGTACAACCTATCTGTTTCTCTGTAACCTTATGACCTCTGTCTGAAATCAGTTATATCCCTTTAGGTACAACCTACCTCTTTCTCTGTAACCGTATGGCCTCTGTCTGACATCAGTAATCTCCCCTTAGGTACAACCTACCTCTTTCTCTGTAACCATGTGGCATCTGTCTGACATCAGTGATCTCCCCTTAGGTACAACCTACCTCTTTCTCTGTAACCGTATGGTAACTGTCTGACATCAGTTATCTACCCTTAGGTACAACCTATCTCTTTCTCTGTACCATATGGCATCTGTCTGACATCAGTGATCTCCCCTTAGGTACAACCACCGCATGGCATCTGTCTGACATCAGTGATCTCCCCTTAGGTACAACCTATCTCTTTCTCTGTACCATATGGCATCTGTCTGACATCAGTGATCTCCCCTTAGGTACAACCTATCTCTTTCTCTGTTACGGTATGGCATCTGTCTGACATCAGTGATTTCCCCTTAGATACAACCACCGTATGGCATCTGTCTGACATCAGTGATCTCCCCTTAGGTACAACCTTTCTGTTTCTCTGTAACTTTATGGCCTCTATCTGATATCAGTTATCTCCCCTTAGGTACAACCTACCTCTTTCCCTGTAACCGTATGGCCTCTATCTGACATCAGTGATCTCCCCTTAGGTACAACCTATCTCTTTCTCTGTAACCGTATGGCCTCTGTCTGACATCAGTTATCTCCCTTTAGGTACAATCTATCTCTTTCTCTGTACCATATGGCATCTGTCTGACATCAGTTATCTCCCCTTAGGTACAACCTATCTCTTTCTCTGTAACCTTATGGCCTCTGTCTGACATCAGTTATCTCCCCTTAGGTATAACCTATCTCTTGCTCTGTAACCTTATGGCCTCTGTCTGACATAAGTTATCTCCGGTTGAATACCACATACTTTAATCCCTCTGTCAATTTGTTATCTGAATCTGCTGGGACTTAGTTCCCTTTTGTTCCACAATCCTTTCCTTGAAACACTCATACATTAGCATTACATGAGTTATGACCCTTTTTTCATATGAGTTATATCCATTGTGTACCATAATTCTCTCCTATTTGTAGCCTCATAGCCCCCGTATGCGTGTGTGTGCGATCTACCACTCCCGTTGTGGCTTCATGGCCCGTATTTTCTCTCTGATGAGTAAATATGCCCCTTTGTGCATCATCTAGAACACCCTCTATAGCCTCTATACTTGTGTATGACATAAGTTTTGTCCCTTTGCACATCATCTAGGTAGCAGTGTACAGTAGCGTACGGTGGCCATGGTTGATATTTTTATACAATGAATACCCCCTGTAATATAACATCTATCAAAATTTAAAAAAAAAATATCAGTACTAAAATTGGCATATACATGATGAAGTGGACTATTTGGACTTCATAATTTTTTCAAAATATTTGAATTTGGTTTGAGACTACAGTTTTGGTCATTTACAAATCTAGCTTTTCATGTAGTCTATTTTTGTACTCAGCACATGTGTAAATATGGTGAAAAATCCACCGGAATTACCTATGCTAAAACGTGTGTATTTCTATTACCGAGTAGGCAATATTTATTTTCAGACAGGTTTTAATAAAATAATTACTACTTGCGGAGGGTCAAATTTTGGATTAAAAATCATATTATTTTGCATTCATTTTTTTTTTATGTGGTAACCATAGTTTTCACAAGTACCAAATCTGGGGAAAACCACATTTTTGAAAAAAAATCAGTCTTCTAAACAAAATGTATTCAAAATGTAGTTTATAAATATATATATTTATATATATGTAGGTGTGTTGTGCAGGTTGAATCCACTATCCATGTTTATCTGAGACATGCCCTTTATTTTTAGGATCAGGCCATTTCTACTGTACTCTGCTACCCTAGTACACCTTCTATAGCCTCAAGGCTTGTGTATGACATAAGTTGTGCCCCTTTGTGTGCCATCTACCTCTTCTGTTGTAGCTTCATTGCCTGTATTTTCTCTCTGATTATTTATGCCCCTTTGCATTCCTAGTTTACTCTCTATATTATAGCCGCAATGCATGTGTATGACATGAGTTATTTCCCTTTGTATGCCACCTACATGTACCTCTCCTTTTGTAGTTCCATGGCCTGTATTTTCTCTCTGATGAGTTATGCCCCTTTGTGAGCCACCTACCTCTCCCTCTGTAGTTTCATAGCCTGTATTTTCTCTCTGATGAGTCATGCCCCCTTGTGAGGTAGCTTCTTCCCCTTATATTAATAATAGTATACAGCATTTGATATAGCGCCCTAACTAGATAACATAAGCCACTCTAAAGAGCTATACATCTGTAGCTTCATGGCCTGTATTTTCTCTCTGATGAGTTATGCCCATTTGTGAGCCACCTACCTCTCCCTCTGTAGTTTCATAGCCTGTATTTTCTCTCTGGTGAGTCATGACGCCTTGTGGGGTAGCTACTTCTCCTTATATTAATAATAGTATACAGCATTTGATATGGCCCCTAACTAGCTAACATAAGCCACTCTAAAGTGCTTTACATCTGTAGCTTCATGGCCTGTATTTTCTCCCTGATGAGTTATGCCCCTTTGTGGGCCACCTACCTCTCCTTCTGTAGCTTCATGGCCTGTATTTTCTCTCTGATGAGTTATGCCCCCTTGTGTGCGACCTACCTCTCCTTCTGTAGCTTCATGGCCTGTATTTCTCTCTGATGAGTTATGCCCCTTTGTGGGCCACCTACCTCTCCTTCTGTAGCTTCATGGCCTGTATTTCTCTCTGATGAGTTATGCCCCCTTGTGTGCGACCTACCTCTCCTTCTGTAGCTTCATGGCCTGTATTTTCTCCCTGATGTTGTACTCCTGGTCCTCACGGCTAGCCTGGAGCTGCTGATTCAGATGGTCCACCTGGTTGTTGTGTTGCTGTATTATCTGGTCTGCCCCTGACATTTGCACACCACCCTTAGCCAGCTTGTTCTCCAGTTGATCCTGCAAGAACGGTGATGCATGGTCAACGTCATTATCATGTTGACATCTCCAGAATACCAATGAAATAAGATCTTTTGGGTTTCTTTAGGTTCTGTCTAATAGTTTCTTACATTTTCATTTTATTTTCATGTAGAAATAAAAGCAATCTAAGCTTTACATTAAAATGTATACATATTTTATCCAACACAAGCAACAGGTAGCATTGCCTTGCTGTAAAAGGTTCTATTATAGACCATATAGTTTGACTTAGTCACCAGAGCCATGCCTGTTGCGCCCTTGTTAATCAAATGCTTTATTCTATGTAACCATTAAATGTGTTAAACTGTGTAACAGGAGAGGATAAATGCACGGCCAGACAGGTGTTTGAATCCGGGACCCTCCTAACTCTAGACAGAGGCTCTACCAATTGAGCTACCTGGTTGATGACGATCCACCCAGGGTAGTTCCACTACACATGCATGATAAGATCATGTACTAATGGAATCCATCGCTGATGTGAGGTATGGATAAGGTTATTCAAACCCAAGGGATACAATATTGAGCAATAATTTATCCTGACGGTTTGAATTTCCTAGGTCTACACCTGGGTCTACATACTCGGTCTATTATGCAAGAAAAGTAATTCTGTAATGGCCTGTAACCATCTGGGAGAATCCTATCCTTTCTGGTGTTTACAAGGTCATGTGAACAGAAACGAGTGCATCATATATTGGGAGAGCCTCTATAACATCATGTACAGGTTTATATAACATCAGGATTTTTACCTGTAGAGACTGCAGCATCGTGTCCTGTTTTTGTAGCACCAATTGTCGTCTGGCTGATCCCACCTGAGAATAAAAAGGAAGCTTTTTTAGATCATGTTAAAGATTATTCTGAATGCCAAGTGATGATTATGTAATGTATGTAGTTCCTTGGAGATTTTGCACCTCCCAGTCAAACAAGTAAAGTATCACAGAGGACAAGAGATCACACTTCAACAATATGAAAAAGTTAACTTAACATTTTAGATGTACACTCTCCTGAGAATACCAAGATATTCTTTCCATATGGGTTGCTTGTAATTTTGACCCTTATTAATCCAATTTAAAGCTTTAAAACTCTTCAATTAATATTCATTCGACCAATAAGATTACTCTGTATTTATGCATTCTACCAATGAGAATGGCTTACCTCTATTCAACCAATGAGAATGCCTTATTTTTATTCCACCAATGAGAATGCTTTACCTCCATCTGACCAATGAGAATGCCTTACCTCCATTCGACCAATGAGAACACTCAGATCCACTTCCCCCTGAGCGAGAGCCTCCTCCGTCTCTTTGGCTAGCTGCTGTCGGAGTTGGAGGAGAGCAGCTTCTCTTGCCTTTTGAATGTTCTGTTCCTCTAGGGCTATTTCCTCTTCCTGTTGATCAAGGTCACTCAAAATTAATCATATACTTTACACATGTAGTACAATTTTCAAGCTTGGTTTTAAAATAATAAGTAATACCAGCATTGCCTGTCACATATAAAGTGAAAATTGACAAATTCCTGGAGCACCACATTTCTGTAATGGCAGTCTTAAAATGCTCTTAAACATGTGTACAATATCATTTATAACCATGGAGTGGTATTCAATACACATGTCTAGACGTGACAATCCTGGATGACTTAAATTTAATCCATGGTGGATATTTCTTATTATTTATTTCAACCCTCCATTTGAAACTTTGGGTATGATGAGTTAAGGCAATTACTTGAAAGAATCTATATTGACCACTTTTACTGGTCCTCCTTATACAGGTTAGACTGTTTGTATATCTGTCTACCGTATAAGCTTCTCCAGATAAACCTAGCATTCACACAGGATGAATACTCAAAAGACTGACCAATTGTTTCTCCAGTTTTTCCATCTCCTCTTTGCTGGCCTTCGCCTTGTTCGCCATGGCGTCTTCCTTCTGTTTCCTCAGCGCCGCCGTCTTGGCCCGTCGCTCATTTAACCGATACTCAATACTGCAAGAAAGTTATGTGTTACAGAACAGTGTTGATCTAGGAGAATTTGATTATGGTTTAATGGGTCATTACAAAGTAAAATGTTAATGAAACCAGTGACTAAGGGACCCCAGTTAAAAATTTCAAAAAAAATGGTAGCCGTACGGTGGAAGAAAAAGATATTGATATAAATTCAAAGGGCCTTTTACTCAATGCAATGGTTTCATTGGACCCATTCTTATTCTTTCCTCAGAGCCAACGGGTGATGGGAAGGAGGGATGGGGGTTGAAAGTGGTATTTATAGTTTACATCTTCCATGGCCCGTCAACACAATATAATGTCTCAAATCTGAGCCAAATGGCAGAAATTAGATAATAGATTGGGGGCCAAGAATCATTTGAACAATTTTCTCATTACATGCACATGGATAAAATCAAGAGGCGGCTCACAACAGACCCTGAAAACCCAGTGTGATCATCTGTACTTATCATGTGACTTACTTCCTCTGTTGGCGCACTTTACTTTTATCCAGCTGATTATTCAGTACTTCCATATTGTGTTGGTGCTCTCGAATGATCTTCTTCTTAGCCCTGTAACAGAACACAATGCTCAAAATCAAACCTAATACCAAGTACATGTAAATAAATTCAAGACAGACGACCTGTTTAAGGATAATAATAATAAGGATGAATGGACAGATTTTACTTACTCACACAAAAGGAACCTCAATAAAATGGATACTGATTGATGCTGGCAAAGTACTTTAATTCAGAGACAAAGAGAAGTAATGGTTTAAACTGCATTGTTCCTTTTATTTTTCACTTATTTGATACCTTTGGAAATGACAGTGGATCAAGATCGTTCATTTGAACAAGCTAACTCTCATCCCAGCAACCTACAGGACATATATCATGGCTCTAGACCTCATGGTTCTGTAGATGAAGTTGTTTGAATTTTCTATCCCATGGTAATATGCTCAATTGGTAGAGCGGCGAACTGGGAAAATGGGGTTGCGGGTTTGTTCCCTAAAGGAAGCACAATATTACTCTCTGTGTGTGTTACAAATGGTGTCCGTCGACGCCCTCCCTGTGGTGACAGGGAGTTAGAACCTGGGTTGTTGTGGTGTTCTGGGGCAAAATGATTTAAAAAAGGGGGAGTAGTGTGGCAGATTTTAAATAATGCATACGATTAATGTCACCTTCTAGCTTTCAGCTTATCAGATTATTCAAAACTGTTGTTTTTACCCAAATTTTGACCTATACTTACTCGTCGGTCAGTTCCACACTAGTGGACAGTACACGGTTGACCGTCTGGTTCTGTTGTTCATTCATTGACTCCTTCTCCACGAAGGACTGTTGCTCCTGCTCATCTAGTTTCTAGGGAAATAAAATATCCAAGTTTGAATACTAGAAGTATTTAATTTATAACACGAAAGAACAAACAATCCAAAATTAAAATCAATCGAAAACCCAACATTCATTCAGAAAATTTAGGATAGAAAATAAAGTGAGCTTCACTTTGATGATCTTTGATATCCTAGCTATCTGCACCCCTGGAATATGTCATGAAAAAATTGAAGGCTCAGTACTGTGCACCACCTTGTGTGTGAGACAAGAAGTCTTGTTTGATTTTTTAATGTACATCAAAAGAATCTCTTCATCACGAAGCAGTAAAATTGACTGGCTTTGAAGTCAGCGGTGTCGCCCCTGTATAATCTGAGAAAGACAGGTATCAGTCAGAGATCGGTCAGGTTCTTTTACCCGAGACCAATACAATAATTCCACGGGAGTGGATGTGTCGTCTGCTCAGTGCTTTTTGTAAGAAAAGTTGAAATTCGATAGAAAAACTTGTAATATATGTTGAACATTATTGCTTCTAGCATTACTGTACAAAATTTGAAAGGAACTGATTAAAAATTGATTAAAAAATAAAAGAAAGTTCTTGCATTTACTACACAATGCCCTTATTTGGCAATAAAAGGGGCATAACGTAAACTTCTGAAATGCGAACTCGTCTGAGCTATATTGGTATGCAATATGTGTACCAAGTTTTTTCAATCAACCCAAGCGAACTCAAGTTATCGCACGAAAACTTTGTTTCGGGCGACGCAACCGCCACTGCCGTCGACAAAGTAATACCTTAATGTGTTGCCTGAAATGCGAGGCGACACAAAAATAGCGAAGGTGAGCGTATAACCCCTGGAGTACGAAGGATGAGACTTCCCTGCAGTCAGTTATCAGTCTCTCCAACATGACATGTTGAGACACTATTTTAATGAGGTTGTGTCAGATTATACATACCAGCATTTTCCGTTCCCATCTCTCTCGTAGTTTGGCAGCCATCTTGTTTCTTTCATCCATCCGTTTTTCTAAAAGCAGCAGTTTTTATAAATTAAAAGATTTCTTGGAAAACTTATATACTAAATGTATAGAAAATGATAATATTTTATGTATATGTTGTATGTAACATTTAAAACATGATTTTGTGATCTGTAGTTCTGCTTTCAACTTAAACTCCTTTGGTTAGTGTGTTAAAAGTCTACCCAGACCTACAGTCTCAATTAGCTATATGGTACGCTTTTATGCAATATATTACAGAGAAGGTTTATAAATATATATGTGTCCCTCATTTGAGGTCTATCACTATCCCCATTATGTCTCTAGCTGTTTGTCTGGAGATCTGTTAGAATGGTCCCCATCTCTATAATATCAAAATTATTAACAAAAAATGACTCTTATCATTCTGATCTTTTGAATATCTTATCCGTTGGATTAAAACTATATATAGGAAGAAAAGTTAGGAGAACTGTAACAGAAGAAAGAGAAATGCAATGGCTTGACAGGATTTTAACCCAGACCCTCCATACTCCAGACTTTTCTTTATAAAATTTTTGGACTGGTAGTAAGTCTATAGAGATCTTATAGATGAATCTGTAATAAGGTCTATAACTGTACCCCTAAGTTCTATTTCTAGACCCTCCCTTTTCCCTGAGGTCCGTAACTTGTCATCCCTGAAGTCTATGAGAGTGTTTCCCTATCCTGAGGTAATGTATACTGAGAATTTTTCACCCAGTCAAATTTTCGCTCTGGGGTCTTAATGTATATCCATAAGTCTTTAACTGTACCCACCATTAAGCTGTTGCATGCGAGCTTTGTGTAGGTCAATGATCTTTTCAGCCTTGTGAGAGTCCTGACCAAACCCTTCCAGCTCTTTTTGTATCTTTTCTGTCCGATTGTTCACCTGTGTAGCCTGATCTGATGACAGTTTCTGTTACAAAAATATCATAATGTATACATAAATAAATAACATAATATATACATAAATAACATAATGTATACATAAATAACATAATATATACATAAATTACATATTGTAAACATAAATAACATTTCTACTTCTATCATTTCAAAATTTCAATGCATTGTATATACTAGCAGAACTTCTACAACTTCAGGAAAAACCCCGAAAATTGTTGTAAACAAATATTGATAAAAATTAAATCTTGTATCAACATGACAAAAATGTGATTATTTTGTCAATAAAATATAGCACTTAACATTTCGCATGCAGCAATTTTACATCATTCTAAATATTGATAAAATGTTTGAATTAGACATAAAGTAGAAAGTAAAATTAAGCAACAGAAATGCTTTAGATATTTTAAAAAGATCAGTTACCATATAATGTTTCAATTTCAGAGTAAAATATTTGCAAAATATACATTAGTGAAAACAAAATCTAGAATCACATCACACTATCTATAAATCTAAACTTTTTATTGTAAAGGATGTTGAAAATAACGTTTCTATGCTAATCACTTGTTGTATTTTTATGCATTTAACTATGCTTGAAAAGTTTGATAATGTACCTGTTTGAGATTGTCAATTTCCTGTAATTCTTGCTGGTCTATCTCCGTCTCGGTGACCTCCATTTCTGACCGCTGTTTCTGTAGGAGGTCATGGAAGCCCTATATTCACAGGTTAAAAAAAAAATCTTGGTTAACTTAAAGCATTTCACAATATAGTACATGTGTATGTGTATATGCAATGAGGGATATTGATTATAATAATTTTATTTCTGAAAATCAATAACCACAACATCATCGAAAATAAATAATAATTTCTCATGATCAGTTGTAAAATTTCTTCTCAGTAAATCCTAATCAATTATTTAATTTAAAGAAACAATCTGAACTAAATGTATTAAAACCTTTTATTTCCATTTTCCTATTTCTATGTAGATGCACTGATTGTTTTTAAACTAGAAAATGTCTGTAAGACATAAATGCCCCCGCTCATGGATGGGACAGGACGGGACGGGACAGACATGAGCAACACTATATGCCCCCCATTTTATGGCGGGGGCATAATAAAATCTATTTCAGTATTGGTTTTATATGGTGTTTTATAGCTAGATTGATTTCCACTACGATAAAAACAAAACAAAAAAAACCATGTTATATTTGTACTTTTATGTTGATTGTAAAAAATGAGACTATTTCACATTTTCAGTTTGTGCCATCACTGTTATTGGACATGCGATGTAACAATATAACATGTTTGCCATAAAATAAAAATTATACAGGTCATTTAGCATTTGTTGATTTTAACAAATACAGTGGTTTTAAGTTCATATATATTTGTATAGAAAAAGTTGGAAAAGAAAATGAAACAACATGTCATTTTGTTTTAAAGATCACATCTGATAACCTAATAAAACTATATCCGGGCAACACAAGATGTCCTCAAAAAGGTCCAAAGATAACACAACTGCCATCTATATGATGTACCAATGAAACGTAACCACACAGGTCACATGACCAAAGGGATGTTGTCAGAAGTAAGCAATTCCTTGCATAGAACAAATAAAGCTTTCAGTTACGAACAAGTTATGGTTTAAACCATATCAAAGATGATATAAACGTTTCTCGCACCCCAAACAGAGATATCCCACATTATAACCCATGCTAGATTTTTCTATCTCGTCCGAACTGTCTGCTTCCTTTACGTGACATTTAGGGGAATTTTTACACTGCGATGTATTCATCCGCACATTAACGGATTGATATCGACACTCTGCATTATAAGTATTCTGTTTTGTCGTTATACGCATTGTTTTAATATCTGATGTTGTAGATAAAATATAATCTACACTGTGAAATACGTTGTCTTCTTTGTAAGGACTGACCACAATTTTACGCAGAAGCAACCAAATGTAGCCTTTTTATCTTATTCTCGCTCAGTGACAAGAAATAGATTTTATTATTCTCGTGAATCTTACCTTCGACATGTCTCCTGTATCTCCTCCCCTTTCTAGCTTCTCCTTTTGTACGGCCCTCTCTCTCTCATGTTTATTTTGTATCTGATTCATACGCCTTAACCGTTTTGCTCTGAGTTTCTCTGCTAAATCTTCTAGGTGTCTGTTGGCTTCTGTCATGTGGGGGAATAAAACAGTCAACGATAAAAGCATTCTAGATTTTCTTAATTAACACAATGACAAAGACAAATAATTAAAAGTATGTATCAGGCGCTAGTGACCTACATATTCCAGCCAACTTCAGTGTCAGGACAGGAATGCATGGTAACGATGGTAACTGTTTACTCACAATAACTCAATAACTTGAAGCAAAAAAACAAACAAAAAAATCACAATACAAATGTCCAAGCATCACAGACATCAGGAGAATGTCTTTTAGTTAAGCAATGAATGTTTTAGCAAATATTGTTATGGTCCTATAACACACATTGCTATTGATGACAAAGTTAATAAAGCCGTGTTGAGTAGGGCTTTATGTAAGTTTGTCAGCAATAAAAATGCGTGTTATATAGGACCATAACAACATTTGCTAAAAATTACTTATATTTACATTTTGATAGAGTACTTATGCTTTATTTTGTTATTTCGAACAGTTTTTGAACAGCAAATTGAGTGCTGACAACAATGAAATTGATGACGTCACAATAGCAAATGTCGTTATAGACTCATAACAACATTTGCCTTACATAGCAAATGTAAATATATGGATAATGTAATATAAACATTGTGTTTTCATATATCTATGTCGTTAGTTAAAAACAACATTCCATTTGATATTGTACAAAAATATTGGCTGGATATGTCAAGAGTTCAATCTAAAATATAGCCGGGTGTCAATTAAAAGGCACTGAAAAATGTTGTTATATGTCCTAAGATGTTGTCATATATAACCTTAACTGTTGTCATATAATTTCAGCTGTTGTCATGTGACTCAGTTGTCATATGACCTGAGCTGATATCATGTGACCTCAGCAGATATTATGTGACCTCAGTTGTTGTCATGTGATCTCAGCAGTGTCATGTGACCTCAGTTGTTGTCATGTGACCTCATTTGTTGTCATGACACAAACAACTAATCAACCTTCACATTATTTTTGTGACGACTTATGAATTTCCACACTCACCCTTTTCCTGTTTACTATGGATCTTCTGAAGGTCCAGCATGTACTGGTTGATGAGTTGCGTGGCTTGTTTCCCACTCATATCCTTATTGTTGACCATATCCTTGACCGTCTCCTCCATTATCTCCACGTTGTCCTTGAGTTCCTCCTTGAACTGCTGGTCTTGTAACTTGCGGAATTCCAAGATTTGTCGCCTTTTTGCAAGACGCTCCTCCAACCCCTGTGAGTGTAAATGAAAGTATTCAGAAATTCTTTCTTTGATTTGAAATAACAGATGCATCACATCAGATCTCCTGATACCGAAGTTGTTAAATGGTCAGTGTAACCTGTGTAAACAGGATTGGTACGCAGTACTGTACATGTGAATGCATAAAAACCAAACAGACAAACCCATTATAGCAAAAAATAAATACAAACTTGAATACTGACATGTCATTAAGGGCGCCCCTTGATGTGCCAGACTGAAACCAATTCCCCTCTTGTCTATATTTAGTCAAAGTAACCTTGACCTTAACCTCGAAAGCTTTTTCAACCCCTATTGCATATCTACCTATACTATCAGTGTCAAATTTTAAAAAGATGAGTATTCCGAGATAAGGATTGAATCCCCTCCCCCCCCCCTAATGGTTTAAGTAACAGTGACCTTGAACATAGAAACTTTTTAAATCACTATTGCACATCTACATTATCACTATTGTATCACCATGTCAAATGTCAAAAAGATGAGACTTGTGGATTATGAGATAATGAATGCGGGGTACCCCCATGGTTTATTTTTAGTAAAAGTGACCTTGACCTTAGATTTTTTTTAATTGACTGTTGCACATCTAGATATCACAGTGTATCACCATGTCAAATTACAAAAAATATTAGACATTTGTATTCTGAGATAAAGACCAAAATACCCCTACCCAAGTCTATTTCTAGTACCAGTGACCTTGACCTTGACCTTGGAATATTTTCAAACCCCTATTACACAGCTTCATATACAATTTCTAAAAGATTATGAACCGATAAACATTTTATGCATTTATGAACTTATCCTGTAGTTATGGTACGTCACCCATAGAATTTTAAAAATATATTAATCAATTTCTACTCACCCTATTTTGTCTTTGGAACTCGTGTCCCAACTTCTTCTCCAGGTTAGCCATGTCCTTCAGCAGCGCGGCCATGAGAGCTTCAATCTACAACACGATTCAATTTTATACACATTAATATACATGACTGTCCAAAATACTTACAAAATTTGAAGTATGTTAAGATTGGGTCCGATGTTACATAAATTCCTTTATCCTCCCTGATATATGTCTAATATAATGTTATCTTCATTGCAGCTACACTACTTTGCCAAAAGCTTGATTTTTTTTTAAAACAAATATTTCCCAATCCGTCTTTAAACAAAATTTGACCTGCTTAAAGTCAGGTGTTCAATTTCACATTAAGGATGCAAGCCCACAGGCTAGTCCACCAGGCTTTGGGATAGTCACTCAACCAGGAACTCTTCACTCCCGTTAGCACCAGTTAAAGAGTATTACCTCATCCTCTTTAAGGTCGGTACGTTTAGAGAGCTCCTGTCTGATGAAGTCACGCTCGTCCTCGTGTAACTTGACAAGCTTCTGTTCGAGCTGGGAGTCGAGCTTATCCACCTCAGTTTGTACAGCCTCAGTATTCTTGTCTTTAGACATCTGTTGTCGTGTCTCCTGTATACCACATAGAAAATTTCGAACAGGTCTAATTTATATTCAAAAAACAGATTCTGGATACTGAATACAATTATTTTTTTTTGAAAATCATTTTTATTTTGTGCACAATTTTCTTTGTATTTAATTTCATGTAAAAAAGCATTCGATCAATTTAAAAGCAGTTTCCATTCCAAAGTGACAGGAATTTAATGATATTTTGTTTATCCTTATATGAATCCAATTCATTAAAAAGGAAATTTAACAATGCCTGTCATGTATATTACATTTGTATCACATAAATCCCTTGCATTCTGGAAGTTATGTGACTATTCACAAAATCTAAGTTCATCAGCTTTCATGTAATACCGCATATTGGAGTTAGTTTGACCCTTTCACCACTGGAGACCATAATGGACTCATCCCAATAAATGCATGGTAGAGTGCACTAAAGTTACCTAGGGGTGAAAGGGTTGATTAGTAGATTATCAACAAGAACTTGACTTATTTAACAATGACTTACGTCTTCCACTTCCTGTTTTTCGTCCTTGTACATCCTAGCTTTACTGACCAGATCCTCCATAACATTGTTCACAATTTCTGACAAGCTAACATCCCCAACCTTCATCCTTCGTAACTGCATTTTCAGCTGTTTGAGGAACATCTACAAAGGCAGAAACAAAGATGAGGTCTCTGTCTAAACATGTTTATCTGTCAGTGAAATTCATTAGTTAGTGGCACCAACACTTAAGTCTCCTGTGGCAAGTCAAACCTACGACAATTGGCGACATTTACACTTGTTAGCTAAGATATCAAATTCAATGTCATTTCTGTCTATGCTATACAGTTACAGGGCTTTAAAGTCAATAAAGGAATTTAAATTCTGTGTAAATTTTAATTTATTTTAGAAAATGCTTTTTTCCAGATAATGCAAGACAACCAATAAATGTACATAAGGTTAGGGTGATGGTTTGTTTTCCTAATTTGCCTTACAATATTTTTTGTTACATTTCGGTATTGTATCAAGTTCTTTCTTATGTCAATAACTGAATGAAAACATTTTCTGATATTACTCTCCATACAATCTGAAATCACAGCTCTTTGTCTAGCCTCAGAATGACAGACAGTATGTAAATGACATGTCCAGCTGATGTCTATATCCAATACTTAGACTGTCTTCATCATCAAGTTACCATGAACTACCTTATACAATGTACATAAACATGATAAAAGATCAAACGAAAGTGAGTAAGATTTCTTCCGATTTGTCTAGAATAATGCTGACAGGGTAATGGGTCCAGATAAGAAAGTAATTTTGAATATATATATATAAGTTTTTTATACACTGCATACATACAAGTAGATTACAGTATTATAATACCACTTAATTAAATTATGCGGGAGTCGGGAGTCAATTCTGACTGACTTACATCATCTTTCTCCCGACGAAGGTCTCGGGTGACTCTGTCGACCTTGTCGACATCCTGTTTACTCATCTCTGCCTCCGCCCCTTCTCTGTAAAATAGACATAGCTGCCTTAATCTACGATGTTGTGAAAGGAAAATGAAAAGTTGGTGGGACTCATAATTTATACACATATATATACTGAATGCAGAATTTTTTCGCCCCCAGTCAATCTTTCGCCCTTCGCCCATGAAATCATTATTTGCCCTGTCTAAATTTCGCCCGATACATTTAATTACTATTCCTATTATGCTGTTTACTTACATTCTCTGTAATGATGAATTCGCCTTCATTATGAAGGGCAAAAACGGCGAAAATTATCAGATATAAAGTATACACCAAATGATGATGTGTAAAAAACAACACATTTCTATAGTCAGAAAATAGTTCTAAATGGGTGTATACGTGTGTGAAACTCTTTAAATGTTATTCACATGATTTTCATGGTTTTTTGTTTAAGAATTTCACATGTTATGATAAATAGCATTTAAAATTATGTTTATCTGGATTGCTTTAAAGCTGGTCCCTCACAAATGAGCCTCTTATACTGTACTTAAAACTTACATGGTGTCCTTTACGAGGATGTCTCCGATACCGTGACAGAGGGCTGGATCCAAAGGCGGCTTCTCAACGTCTGGATCAGCACCTATCTCCTCCTCTTCAGTCTCATTGTCTTCTCCCCTCTTTCCTTTCCTTCCTTTCTTTTTTCCAAATTTCAACTTTTTCGATGTTGGTTTATCTCTTACATTGTAAGCATATATCTAAAAAGACAAAAAGCATGGTGATTTATCAAATGAAATCTAACGATTAGATTATTTACCAATCTGCAGCTGAAGTAAATGATAGACAATTAAATATATATAACTGGCCCTTCCCCATTCTCCTCCTAACACTCTCTAATAATCTTCCAACAGTATTCCCTAATAATGTTCCCACTGAGCACTTTCCCCCTGTCTTCACATAATCCTCACCTTTTCCGCCAGACAACACAAACCAGATCTTGTTCAATTCCACAGAGACACCTGGACCTGTATTCATGAAACCGTTCTCATGCTCAAGCATGAATTCTGAGCTCAAATTAACCAGCTTTCTGGTAACTCAATTAAATCATGTCAAACAATAAAAATGTCAATTGTAAACATTGAAAAAATTATTTGTCTTTAAGTCACTTCAATTTTTTCTCTCATTGAAAAAATCTTAAAGAAATTAGGCTTGAGCACAAAATATGTGCTTAAGCATGAGAATGGTTTAATGAATACTGGCCATGGGTCAGTTGGTCAAAGCCTTGCTGATATTATACCCCAAAATTAATCTTTTTCATATATTTATTTTTTCAGAAAATCAAAAATGATATTTTCACGATTCATTGAATGGCTTAAAATGTCAATCATAGAGTATTACTGTGCAATTTTAGCGTATTAAATTGTGATTGTCAACGTTAATTTTTCAGTAGTAATTAATTTCATGTTTTTCAACTAAAAAATCATGAATACCATGCATGCTTATGAATTTGTCCTAACAATATTAACATCTGATTTGATAATATTTAGTTAAGTTTCAAGGGTTTTTGTTGTTGAAAATGCTGATATCCCTGACGAAAAAGTTGTGCTATAAAAATGAAATATTTGTTGCTGAACTGTATATATTCTATCAGACGTAGAGCAAAATTTGGATATAAAACGTTTGGTCCGAAAACTCCTTGACAGTAATCAGTCAAAATGGGCTCTGACAATTACTGAGTGCTTAATTTATACAATTCATAGGAATCACATTTTGACAATTAAGTGATAAATAATTCTGTATTTTGTGTCAGAAAACTCACCACATCTGAATTGTCGTTCCTCACATGTACTGCCTTTTCCTCCACTAGCTCCTCCTCATCTTGTGCCTGATATTGAAACAAGAGATCTTACAATTCAAATTCACACTAAACTGTTAACTTATGAATTGTTTTTAACATTTAAAATCAAAGATATCTAGGTATGACCTAGAAAGATGCACAGTTACATCTCTTATTCTTGCATCTTAAACCATCACATAACAGATATATTTATTCGTAACACAATTAATTAAAAATATTACCTGTCAATTAATTAAAATCGTACTCAAGTGTTCTTGAAAAATCACCAAACTGTAGTTCTTTAAAATCACCAAACTTTAGTATAAGCCAAAGACATTTTTAACAAATCAACATAAAAGTATAACCAAAATGACCATACATCCAAGTTTAAGCAGCAAGAACTATAACTAACAACACAAGATTTTCTGGGTAAAATTTACCGCAATGACCATGAAACAGGTATTGTTGAGTACATATCTGACCACTTTTTTAGAGAGAGGAGGCAAAGTGTTTCAGAAAGAGGCATCTTACAAAAGGTTTTAATTGAGTAAATTCAAGAAATATGATAATTAAGGTTAGTTTCACTACCGATAGACTACACCGATAAAGTTATCTCCCTTGATAAGGGGGTGGGGGTAGGAATCCCTGGAGTTTAAGTGTGAAGTAAATTATATGATAAATAATATCATATACTGTTAGCAAAAAATGAAATTTATTACTTTTCATGAGCATATTTATCCACAATAATGTATTCTTTCAAAAATATAGACACAACAAGTATGAAAGCAAAATATTTGATGTTGCAAATGAATATTTTAAAAGCATGATATATATGTGAACTCATAACTAAAATTCTGAACTGTTGCAAAGCTTAATTTCTCATGGCAAAAATGACATTTAAGAAATGGATGGTATCAATTTTATTATAACTTACAAGGTCATTTTGTATATAATGTAGATCTCTCATATTATTTTCAACATACTCTACATGTATTTGTACATCCTCAATACTCCAGGGGTTATGCTCACTTACGCTCTCTTCACCCCTGGAATTTGTTATACCAAAATTGAAGGAACCAAGATTGCTATTTGATTGGTCTCAGATAAAAAAACCTGACCAATAGCTAGGCTGATACCTGTCCTTTGAAGATTACAGAGGAGCGACACCCCACTTCAAAGCCAGTCAATTTTACCATTAGGCAACTGCATAATTGTTTTGATGTACATCAAATGATCAAACTAGTCTGCCTGCCTCATCAACAAGTCGGTGCACACTGAGCCTTCCACTTTACTACGACATATTTTAGGGCGAAAGTGAGCGTAAATCCTGGAGTACTGAGGATGATATTTGTATAGAAGGGATGAAGCACAGTAACATGAAGTTTTTTTAGTGATAACATGAATGATAGAGGGACAATTAACACAGAGATGTACGTTAGTGTGGCATGCTGATTGTGATGAAATGAAATGCTGATAACAAAAAAAATAGCCAGCGAAATGATTTTTTTTTTTTAAACATATCTTAAAACCACCTGTAATACATTTACAAGGTTTATTTAAAATGTTTGTGATAAACTCATGAGGTCTTATATTAGTTCTACTGATTTTACTGCAGAAGTTGCAGAAAGGGCTTGTGTCGTCATGTATGACTGCTATATGCAGAAAGGGCATGTGACCTCATGACTGCTATATATATAATATGTCCACAAGAATGACCCTTAAAATTACATATAAAATCTTTTAAACATGTACTTCACGTACGGTTCATGAGCCTAACACTAAAGAGCATACTACATGTAGTAATATGGGTGTCAGTTTCACTTACATTTCTTAAATAAGGTTTTCAGTGGAGAAAAAAATAAGAATTTTAAAGAAAACATTTTTTTTTTAATAATATTTTCCTTAATCCCAGAAATGCTCTTTAAGAAAAATTTATCAGTGTATATAATATTTTTTGGTATTAAGAAACTATGAGCCTTATACAAAATCGAAAACATTGTATCTGCAATATTAACATTTCATTAATATCCATAAGAAAAATATTTTTGGATAGCTGCCTATATCAAAATTTTTTAAATTAAAATATCCTTTTTTTTTTTATAAAATGAATGTTGGGAGTGCAAAAATATTTATCTGTATGTAAAATTTGAAATTTGGAACATCAGTGATAATTCTGCATATGCGAAGTATTTAATTTTGACAATTTCTGTTCCATATATACAGCCATATCGCAAAGCAAAATTATTCTATAATCTAAGAGTTAGTCTACATCTAGCAAAATATGTACACATGGGTTTGCAATGTGCTATATATTCTGTGCTCATATTATATACTAACTACACTACTTTGACTATATTTTCATAATGATACACTTTGTATTAATCAATTAGTAGTTCTAAGTTAATAACAAGTCTAGGTAAACATCAGGTATGACAGAAGTAAAAATCAAATGATGCAAAAACATAAAATAGTTTTTTTGTGGAAAGGTCTGCTAGTTATGCATGCTAGTCTGGTACTTAGAGTAAATCCATTTTTTTTTAAAATTTGGATGCATAACTGCATCTTAAATATGATTTTAATTTGTTCATATATTTTTAAACAAAGATCTATACATGACTAAATTTAAATTACTTTGTTGAAGTTACCCACGGAGAAACACAGAAATAATGTATTGTATTGTATAACATAAACGATGTTTGTCGCCAAAATATTTCACTCCTAATTTATGCATTGCTGCTCTTGAGCAATCAAATCAATGCTTAAAAAAATTCAATTCCATTTGATCAACATCAGCTGTACAGAAATAAATATGGAAAACTAAAAATAGTTAAAAGAATACCGTGAAATATCTTTACATGACAAACTTAATTTAGTATACAACACATCATGCAATTTGTAAATATAAGTGAATGATGGCTGAAAATTGAATTATAATTGTTACCTTCCTTCTCCATAACTGCAGGCAAAATCAAAAGAACACAATGTATACGGTTGTTACATCATAATGCAATCACGTCTCTATATATACACGGAAAAAATACATGTGAGATGTCTAATTGTGATAAAAATGCTTCTAAAGAGTTTTTCTGTTTTAACAGAAGTTTAACTGTTCAACTGTTAAACTTTCATCATACTTCGGAAATAATTGATTCTTTGTTGGAAATCTCTTTCCAATTTCACAATACACTACAGTTTTGTTAAAAAAAAACAATTGATGCATTGTTACACAGGTACAGCTGAGATTTTGATCTAGATTTCCTGACCTAACTTGACACATTAAGTATATAACTCTCAAAATTGTGAAATTATCATGAACAGGTTTATTTCTCAACTACAGTAATACAGGGTCAAAGTTCAACTTCAGTGTTTGATGAAAAAGGTATTTTTGTTGTACATGTATAATTTATAAAACTAGTAAAAAAATATTAAAAGCAACAGGAGTGAAGGGCATGCTGAAATTGATTTGTTATAAGTATGCATCTTAAATCTCGGAAGAAAAAGCTAATAGATAAAATAAACTTTATTTATTTTACAACAATTATGAAAAAAGTTATTTCAATTTATATTATTCACTCTTGTTGACCCGAATGTAATTGCGCAGGGAGTATCAAAGTGGGAGGAAACTGGAGTACCCGGAAAAACCCGCTCTGATCGGGCAGGTGACCCCATACCTTCACATCCAATAGGGGAAGGGAATTGAACTCCGGCCACCTTGGTGAAAGGCAAGCGCGCGATTCCACTGCACCACCCAGCCACTAATAGATAGCTAATCATTCAGAAGGTAATTTGCTTCATAAATAATCTTTGGTAGTAAATGTTGGGGTAACATTCGAAAATTATACCAGCAAAAACACAGTACACTTTCTTCAGACATTTAAACCTGTACTTTCTAATGACTACAACTGTATACATTGTACACAATGTTACACAGCTGCCATAATTCAAACTCAAGTCAGCCTTAACCCTTTCAACCCTACGTAACTTTAGTAGACTCTACCATGCATTGATCTGGATGAGTCCATTTTGGTCTACAGTGGTGAGAGGGTTAAACATTGCAATGGTCCATTTTTCAATCATGCTGTACAAAATGTCAAGGTCATACACCTCAAACATTCCTTTTTAGAAAATTGTTGCTTGTATATTTATTAGCCAACTTTTCTCTATGGTATGTCTATGCATGTTAAGGTTTAAAATGTGAAAGCTACACCTAATTATGAATTGCCATTCAGGTATGTATGAAAATGATTACTTTTTCTCACTGTGAGTCATAAAGGTATTACGAGGGATTCCCCCCAAAAGATATTTAACTTATATTAAATACATATACAATTTTATGAGATAGCAGGCCCCTATTCAAATGTATAAAGAAAAGATTTTTTGTTCTTCTCTGTGGGTCATTCAGGGTCGTACCGGAGAGATCCCCCCCCCCCCCATAGGTATTTAGCTTATATTATACTATAAGATAGTACTGTGAAATAAATTGAAAAGGTTTTTTTTCTTTCTGGTCTATATTTGCTTTATCAGCCGAGTCCCAGAGCTAGAGCTACATAGCTTAAACCCACTTGACTTTATAGCCAGATGTATATATATAATAGTCTTTATGTTTACCCACCATCAATATATCCAAGGATAAACTAACAGTTTAAGAGCTGTTATATTGTTCAACAGTTCCAAAATGTTTAATATACACAATACCTGCGGTGTGCCATATTGTTACTTATGTAGGCGTCAGTTTCATACCACACAATTCTTTTCAATAAAACAGTGACACGGCAAAATATGTTCATATTGTGTTTTATAAAGGAATGACAGCATAATGGATACATATTTTAAAAGATATATCTGCTGGGTTTTTTTCTGAACCATATACATATTGTCATTTTCAGGTTCTGTACGTACGACAGACTATTTCTTAAACAAGGTTACCGAAAGCGGTACATTATATGCCCGTCATTCATCGATTGAATAAAGGGGCATAACTCTGTCAATTACTGTTTAATAACAGTGGTTATTGAACTTGTCTAAGCTTTTATAGTAATTAACCTTCCAATGAAGTTTGAAGGTAATCTGCTGAAAATTACTCAAGATATCAAGCAGACACTGTTTTGGCAATTCATTAAAGGGGCATAACTCAGTTAATTATGGTTGGAAAATGGTGGTATCAAACTTGTCTGAGCTTTAATGGCAATTAATCTTCCTATGAAGTTTGAAGTTAATTCGTTGAAAAGTACTTCAAATATCAAGTAGACACAGTGCTTAAAGCCCTAAAAATCACCCAAAATCCACACACAGGCCACTCACAGGATAAGATAATACATTTGTATGTCCCCATCTTTCGAAGGCGAATTAACAAAACAGAGCCTTTTTTCACATTGGGTCACTTATTTGTGTAAAATTCCTTAAGTTGATCTATATTTTTTTGTGTATTTTATATGCACTGGACTCTTTTTCATCATAGAATCAATTTAGTATTTCTAATTCAGAACGGTTTGGAATCTGTTTTAAAATACTTTGTCCAGTTGCAACATACTAGACAACAGAGAAAGGAGAACCCAAATTCTTGTCAAAGACATACACGTAAATACAATTGTAATGTACAATGGAAAAGTGCTACCAAACTTTTGTTCTGTTTACTAGACAATGAGGCAAACATTACTCAAAGTCTTTTTTCAAATACACTAGACCACAGTGCATAAACAAATTATAAAGTTCAATGGATAAAAGAACTGTCGATTTTTGATAACTTGTAATATTACCTAAACATTAAATAAAAGGTAACTCAGTATTCTTGGAAATTTGTTCTTTTCCTTTCCCTAAGTAATATTTTTACAGTAATAACTATTAATTGAAAGCGCAATATAAGATGCTATTTTTTCTATTTAGACCTTCCTGTGTTTACTACTTCTTGGCACAAAAAAAAACAACCAAAACATATGTTCTGCTGTATGTATATATATTGTTATCGGATTAATTAAAAGGTTTGACTCCAGGTTGTTAAGTATGAGAAGCATGGATTAACATGTACCATAAGGCTTTTAATTTAGGTGCTCGGTTCCAAAAGATCATTGATAAATATGAAATTGCAACCACTTAGGCTTATTAGCCATTAACTTAGTCAACCCGACCTAAACCGTCTACCATACAAATAGGATTAAGAATCTTTACACTCTGTAAACACCTAGCTGTAATCAAGGGTCAAATCGGGAAATTTATGTCAATTTTACATTTACCAATCGGCTTAGAAATACATACATACACACAATGACACATTGTGAAATATATATTGCAACTGCATTGCCACTGCAAAACATTTTTAAAGCAAGATTTTGAAAAAAAAAAAAAAAAAAAAAAATCAACTTAACAATATGTAGATGGGCTTAACCAGGTAATTATTACAGGACAATGAAAAAGCTTTAGCTGGCATCTCTTAATTCCTAACTGCAATATGTCTTGGTGGGCTTGTTACCAAACATGGATAAATATGGTGTTTTATTCAGACGAATAGTCTCAGTAGTTGAAATTGGTTGAACTATAATCACACTACATATCATGTACTTGTAGCTGTTCATGTATATTCATTTTATTTAACACGATTTTGTATGATTTTGCATAAATTTATAAGCCGATCAGAAATCTTTTAAAAACGATGCTAACATTCAGAGGTGAAAAATATATTTTTCTACTGAAGGCAAATGATGAAAGTAAAATACACAACCCCATTGTAACGGTACATTTAGAATGACAGCCATGGAAGTGCAAAAAAGAATTGATGGCGTTCAGTTAAACAAATGTTAAAAGGAGATTGATGGTCAGTTGTTTCGGACTTTGCAAAGGCCAGACTGGGAGGTTCACAGCTGAGGACTTCTACACCCTAAACTTCAGCAACTTATCCAATGTTTTTCCTACATTGATGAAGTCAATAACAATAACATTGGTCCAGTTCCACACAATAGTTGGACCATTATAAGACACCCTATAGTATTCAGTCATATTCTCCTATAACTGTTTTTAAGATATGAATGAATCTTGTACATTTTTTGTTATCTTTCTTTGTGGAAGGGAATCATTGTCGTTTTATATGGACAAATACCTTTGATCTCTTCAATGAAAAACATGTCACCTTGGTACAAACTACTAGCTGCTTCCTACCAGCTTGTCCAATTTCTCTTTAGCTCATTCTGTAGAGTGTAAAGACTAGTAAACCATAGGTTCTGGGGGTTCAACTCCTAGGGAAGGCATTACAAGCATACTGACCTCTAGATCTATTGCAAACTGTTAAAATAAACAAGAATTCCACGAGAGTGGATGTGTGGCCTGCTCAGCGCTTTTAGTAAGAAAAGTATTTTGGCTTGAGTTATCGCGTAGACAGATATGCCAAAACGTGGAAAGTTGAAACCCGACAGAAAAACCCTTAATATGTGATGAACATTATTGTTTCTATAGCATTACCATACAAAATTTGAAAGAAATTGATTAAAAAATAAAAATGTTCTTGCATTTACTACACAATGCCCTTATTTGGCAACAAAAACTTCTGAAATGCGATCTTGTCCTAGCTATATTGGTATGCAATATGTATTTAACCAAGTTTGAGTTCAATCAACCCAAGGAAACTCAAGGTCTCGCACGGAAACCTAATGTTTCGGACGACGCAACTCACTGCCACCGCCGCCGCCACCAACAAGGTAATACCTATATGTCGCCTCGCGTTGCAGGCGACACAACAATGGGATTACTATTGTCGCAAACCCTTAACCGTTCTTCATAGTGAGATTCACAAGTGAAATTCTACAAAGACCCCCACCCCCGAAACCTTTGTAATAATCCAAGTTTTGCCCGAGTTTCCTCTGGCCCTGAACCCAGACTAAGACATTTTGACAGATAGATGTCCCACTGCGCACACCAGACATCTATCTGTCAAAATGTCTAAGTCTGGTGTCAGGACCAGGGGAAACTCAGTCTATCCCAAGTTATGTTATAGATAACATATTGGTAATTTTCGATGTGCAAAAAAGGTAAGCGTGTGCAGGAGTGCCTCAGAGATAATTCATCTAGTAGTGTATCTAAATTATTCATACATCCTGCTAAGAAACAACATGCACGGAATATAGATTTGAGGTGAAGTGTAGCTATTTTTATAAAGTACTGCTACCCACATTACACAGGGTAGAGAGATATATTGTGAGTGCTAGTCCTTCAGGTGAAAATAGATATTTACTTGTATCCCAATCGATAAATGTTCACGTAAATAATGTTGTCATGACAACCAGAAGCTAGGGAATCAATAGAAAACGGTGTATCTCCTTGGAGAGCTCATTACCTTACATTAACAAGGTGAATTGCCTGCTATATTGGTCACGGAATCATGATAGCCAATCAATAAAATTATAACCTATATATTCTGTACTGTGTAACAATTACATCATGAAATTTCAACATTTACTACAAATCTATCAACAATAATAGAATTTCTTCTGTCCTGTTATTGATCATTTCAAGATAGATGGCCTAACTCAATAACCTGACATGAAAGAAAAAAGGATTTTTTTTTACAATTTTATAAGTACAATTTGTCCTTCTTTAAATACATGTATAGAGAGAAAAAAGAGTGAAATGAAAATAAAAAGTAAAATGAAAGCAAAATAAATCTTTGCACTGGACAAGAATTGAAGCATGTGAAATATTGTTATGCATAATACTCTGTAGGGAAAAAAAAGAACACGAGATAAATAAAGTTTGAACAGATGTTTTTTTCCCCAGAAATGTAGTTTCTGTCTAAATGTTGGATATATTATATACTAGGACTGAAAGTATTTCAATCATAAACATTGTTTGTGGTCACCAAATAAATTACATTTAAGTAAAATGCTGTCCGTCTCAGTACCCACAAAACATGTTGGGAATAAAGACACGAATGATGACTAAACATTTTGCTTAACCTAGCTAGACATGGGCTTATGTTATCTAAAAATCCTGAGGGTCATTGATCTATAGCCTCACTGTTGACTTCCCAAACCCTGGGGACCATTGATCTATAGCCTCACTGTTGATTCCAAAAACCCTGAGGATTCCAAAAACCCTGAAGACCATTGATTTATAGCCTCACTGTTGACTCCCCAAACCCTGAGGACCCCCGATCTATAGCCTCACTGTTGATTCCCCAAACCCTCAGGACCATTGATCTATAGCCTCACTGTTGATTCCCAAAACCCTGAGGACCGTTGATCTATAGCCTCACTGTTGAAACACCAAACCCTGAGGACCCTGATCTATAACCTCACTGTTTAACACCCCAAACCCAGAGGACCCTCAATCTATAGCTTCACTGTTGTCACCCCTAACCCTGAGGACCCTAAATCTATAGCCTCACTATTGACACCCCTAACCCTGAGGACCCTAAATCTATAGCCTCACTATTGACACCCCTAACCCTGAGGACCCTCAATCTATAGCCTCACTATTGACACCCCTAACCCTGAGGACACTCAATCTATAGCCTCAATGTTGACACCCCTAACCCTGAGGACCCTGATCTATAATAACCTCACTGTTTAACACCCCAAACCCAGAGGACCCTCAATCTATAGCCTCACTGTTGACACCCCTAAACCCTAAGGAACCTCAACCTATATCTTTACTGTTGACCCAAAATCCCAAAACCCTCTGGCTATAAATAAACTTTCCAGGACTCTTATTGATATTACTGCTAACCCACAGGACCTTGACTTATCAGGTGTCAATGTTGATATTGTCTCTGGGGTGACAACAGCCCACATAAGCATAGAAACTATTTACAGTAGAATACAGGATGGTACTTTGATGTGAGTGAGTACTTACACATGACAAGAATTGAATCTGAAAAATCAATCAATGACAAGAGTATTAATAGTTTATCCGATCACGAACATATTGGGAAGTGTAACCGGTGAATAAACAAATACATATCTGTTTAAATGCATGTGGGTGGAAATTCCAATTTATCTGTCGTTACAGCTTGTGTTCAATAAACACCCCATAAACACCGATCAGAGTATCGGTGGTGTTTAAATTTCGGTTAACTGAAATATATATGCTATAGAAGGACAAATATTTAGTCATCAAATAGTTTTGCCATCAACTGTACCCAGATTATGCTTAATAGATATTGTAGTGTACATATATATGTTAGATTATGTTGGGTATAGGTCATGGTTAGATACACGCAGCCAGACACAATGGATTGTTTTCATTCGGCTGCTGAATTATGTACAGGGTGTATTTGACTAGTACTTCACCACACAACTACACATGTCAAAGTGATTAACATTACTGACATTTCAAACATCATCTCCGTGGTGTGTAATTCCTGTTTAAAATTAATATTCTAACTTGAACTAATAATCTATAGTCACAGCTTAATTATGTCTCTATAAATGTAATTATCCCCATATTCTACACTATATAGTCTAATGCCTATTACCAACTCATCAGGACGTCATTAAAGTTCCATATTCTACACTAATGCGTATAATATCTAGGTTTAACCCATCAGGACACTCATTCAATGTAAGGTTTGATTAGCTTAAAGTAGACTGCCCCAGTGCTCTGTGCTGTATTTCCAACAAAGAAGAGTTCCAATTTGTTCAACATTTTCCTGACTTGGAGCAGTTGCCTGGCAATTTACTATAGCAAAAAGATATATTTAGAAAAACGTATTTTCATATATTATCCTTTTTCACAAAACATCTTTGCCACAGGGATTTGATGCTCTGCCGTCTTGATTATACAGTCGGAATGGTTAATAATTTTCTGCATCATTACTGGATATTATTTTAAAATATTTCAACTCCCTAAAAAGGACAGCAACCTCCAATTTTCTTTGTACATAATGTATGACATATAAGGGGAAATAACATTAAAAACTTAATTTAGGTAAATAGCAAGGAAAGCGATGGGATTCTCTAACTTAACAAGTCATCAAATTTTGCATGTAGCATACAAATGTATTTTCTAAATTTTCAAACTCATAACATGGAGAGAAAAATCAAATAAAAAATAATTCCTAGTACACGCCTTAGTAAATTTATTTTGTTCCACTGGTGTTTTGTGCTCATCAACATATTACAGTTTACCAAAGCTTTCAAAAATTGAGTTCGCTTTACCATTATATATGAAGGTTCGTGACATATATATAAGGTACACACAAAACGTTGCAACTTACAGGTATTGAAATTATGTGCTGAAGTGTCATAGTTTTTTCAAGTTTAATTGATCTATAAACAATGCTTTTGTATGTAGACTGTTTTACCCAATGAGTTATGATGTCTAATCTGATATATTTCTCTAATAATTAGATGAGAAAAAAAATGAAGGTAAACACCACAATGTGACTTTCATGACATCATCTGACATTGTCCATTGTGACATCACAATGGTCGATGTTATCTAAGTCCGTGATATTACACATATAAAAAATGTATGTGATGGTGTTATCAAATATTCAGTGTGCCATGCAATGAAGATGATTAAGATTAGCATTAATTAAGGAAAAAATGTGGATTGAAAGTAGGTGAAAAATTCACATTAAAACTGACAAGAAAGGTTAATTAGACTAACGAAGTAATGTTGTTTGGTAGCTTAATAGTCCACAGAACTTTTTAAAGACCCAGCATGAAATCGGTTAAAAATAATTGATTGTAGGGGAAATCTATTAGACCTAATTAGAAACATTTTAATTGCAGCTTTCAGTAGCGATTTCAAGGCTTTCACCTGACTTTTGACATTTAGAAACTTTAGAAGTCAAATTAACATTTTTAGCTGAAATTTGTAGTGTCAAAGTACTGGTGAAATAGACATGTCTTTTCAAACCCGTGAGTCAAAGCTCACATTTGGGAGGAAAAACTTAATCTCAGAAATGTACATAGACCTCGATCAGTCCATCGACGCTCTACCTGTTTCATGGTCATTGTTTTGATATTTGGCTTTGTATTATTACAAGGCCGTCTGTTAAATTAATTCCTGTTAATGTAAGTATAAACTTGACCTGTTGTGAAACGTCAACGAAAGTAAAAATTTATACAGTGTTTTGATGGTTGCCCAAACATTTAGGATAAAAGCCAAATTAAATTAATCTACCAGTAATAAGAGAAATATCACTTCAAAAAAATTGGTTTGAATCATAAATAAGGAAGTTTCATCAAAGAGGCTTACAATCCTTTTCTTCAAACATTTTAGATATTCTAGGATAAGCTGTATAAAAAAAACATGGGAATCATTCAGATTTGTTATTACCTGTTTCTTAGCCAAACTTCGCAGACAACATGGCACCAATAGAGCTGTTACGACGATTCCAAATATAAGGCCTAGGAAGAACGCTCCAAATATCCAAGGCTCATTAACAGTTAGCTCACTTGATTCATACTCCAGTTTCACAGGGACACAAATGTCTGATGGACTAAGCGGGTAGGTTGAAATATACGACATGTCTTGTTTCTTTCAGACCTATGGCGATGTCTGCATGTATCTTTCGTTTCTGTCACCTACAAAAAATACCATCAACATAACTAGTTAACTACCGGTACATGAAAATATCTTTTCATGCTTTTTTCATGTTACACATACGGTAAACCTTCGGTCAGTTCACTCAAAATTAAACAAATATTGTCAATCCTTTTCGAATTACACGAAATTATAGCCGCTAAAATAAAGAGTAGTTTGAACTATACAAGTTGACATCGGCAAAAATCACGGCAAAACAGTCAAGTCATTGATACGGAACAACGACGGCCTTAGTTATTGAGATATATATATGCAAATCTGGAGATGAATAATGGTATATATATCTTTCTTATATTTACTTACATATTGATAATCATTTATTAAGTTCAATTGCAAAGCAGAGATAAGGATGTAGGCCACAAAGCAGTAGATATTTTCTCGAGTAATAACGAAAGTTCAGTTGAAACTGCAATTATGTATAGTCACAATAACAAGCATATAAAATTCTAGAAGTCTTCTTTTTATAGTCACTACAAAGTACAATGGAAAAACATTACAATAGACTGTAACAAAAAGCTCTGGAGTCCCGACTCATTGGATATAAACCCCGGAGATGTTGTTTGACATTTTGGTTACCCCCCACAACCTTGAACGTTATTTCATTGGTCAATCTTCTAATTATGATATCATTGAGTAACAATGCTTTGGGATGTAATCTTCCGTTGTGATATCATATTTCATTGAAATTTTTCTTTGGTTTTCTAGATAAATATCAGAATGTTGTTGGAGAAAAGGGTCCCTAAACTTGTGATAGTTAATTATCATGGTTATCTAACTGGCGTTAGTTAGTTTTCAAAATATTACCCATGCACATACATGTGTGTGGCAGATGTTAATTTTCACTGTTACAAACGGTGTCCGGGGCAATCCCTGCGGTGACAGGGATTTAGAACCTGGGTTCTTGTACTGTTAGAGGGCGACCACATTTAAACAGGGAGGATTAGTGTGGCAGATTTTAATTGTACATTAATCAATGTATGTTTACGGTCGTCTTCAAGCTTTGCTTTAGAGGGAATTTCCCTTTAATTCAGTGGTAAAGTGGTGGGCTGGGGACTTGGGGGTCACGGGTACGATCCCCAATGGAAGCACACTACTCTCTTTCTTGTTACACATTACGTGGGGAAAATTGAGGAAACTGGTGAAAATACATGATTTTTAAAGAAAATTCTCAGGGTAGTGGGGTTTCCTGAAGCCCCCAAAAAAACTCTGGATCCGCCACTGATCATGTAATAATAATTTTTGTACATTGTATGACCAGCAGTGTTTTTTGGGCTGCAGGAAACCCCCCACCCTGAGAATTTTCTTTAAAAATCATGTATTTTCACAATTTTCCTTAATTTTCCCCACTTGGAGAACCCCCCTGGAAATTTGGACCCCCCCCTAGATAGGTCTCTGGATCTGCCACTGGCAGACTGTGCATGTAATATCTGTATATATATGACAAGAAAAACTTGGGTATTGAGAATAGAGCTAGGATCTTGGAAGACAATTTTATGGCCAGAATATGTATATAAGTAAAAGAAATTCAATGCACATATTGTATTCACATAATGTATTTATCATTCCACAAAAGTTCAGGTTAAAAGCCCGCCTGAATTTCAAAGTTCCATGATTTCTCCTTCAAATTCTACAGAATTTAATCGTTGTAGTCATCAAAACAGTTTTAAAAGTAAAGACTGACACACAAGAAACTGTGTTTGAATTTTGAAGTTAAACCAGGAGCAACCTTAAATCAGTAAAAACTATGAAAATAGTATGTGGAGAAAGATCAAGTGATGAGTTATCTCCCCTGTAATTCAACAAAAATAGCATTGCGCTATATATGTGACATTTGAGTGTAAATGATTAACCATGCTATCAAATGTATGCATGTAAATATCTGCTAGTAGTCTTTAATTGTCAATGCAACAAACCGTGTTCGACTAATATCAAAATAGATCACGTTGGATTGCGCAGCCCTTTGAGTTGTCCCCCTTGATGTGGAATAGCATCCGATATACCCGACCCTAATTAAATAGTCCATTTCTACATATCAAGACATCTTTATTTTCTAAATGTCGCATGGTTCTTGTGCCAAATTATTTTCTTTTTCATTTAAGTCATGTACTGAAAGTAAGGGTTGGAAATCAACCGGTTATATGCAAATATAAAAACGGTATTTGGCCGTGTTACTTGTCGCCATGTGTGTAAGATCGTTATATTATTGCATTCACGTATGTTGTCTTGATTAAATACTTACGTAGGAGATATGTAGTATCTGATGAACTGCAGTGTTAAGGTTTTTGTTTAACTAATTACACACATTCCTTTACAGACACGTTTTTCCTTTCCACCATTTTTGTTGTTGTCGTAAATGCTCAAATTGTTTTAGTGTTGTGAAGGAGCAGTTTCTATATCCCCAATTATTGATCGGATATTTCCGTTCAGAAATATGGTAAAGTCCAAAGGTGTTCCGAAAACCAGGTGATCTCGAAACTTACTTGCCATGGCTTCAAGCACCTGCTCATCTTGTCGCAGCACATCGAGGTAAATGTTGTTATTATATACATCGAAAATAATAAGAAATTACATTTTCTTACTTAATGGAGATAAATGTAATATTTTTGATCAGCGTTTAGTTCCAAATCCTATCGATATAGCGTTGAACATTGAGATTATTGGCTCCTGTAGCTAAGGACACTCTGTAAAGAAATGTATGTTCAAGACACGACAAATCAGCAAAATATTACCAAATTGTCATTTAAACCACCAAGTATAGAACTGTATGCTGTTGGTTGCATACGAAATAGTGACAATCCTGGTGAGAGTGTTTTGTAAACCTAGCTTCATGTAATTCACATGTAATTTACCTACAGGACGCTGGCATGTTCATGTACATGTTCTCCTTCTACTTCAATTTCTATCATTTACTTGCCTACTTCATGTAGTAGTAGTGAACCTTCCAATTATGTAACAGGGACTGTGTTAGAAGATTCACCCTCCAAGACCACAGTTTGGGACCTGCTTGTTAAGAAATTTTGAATCCATGTGTTAGTGTTGCCCCTGATGACATATTGATTTAATTTATGAGTTAACTAAAAGAAGGTGGCTAACCTTATCAAAAGCCTAACCTTATCAAAAGCCTTACTGAAATCCATTATTAATCAATACATCAGTCTGTTTGCCCATGTCGAGATTTTTAGATATGTCGTCAATAAATTCTCATAATTGGGACTCACAAGATCTTTTTTTGACGAAAGCCATGCTGTAGGGGATATTAGATATTATGTTTATCAGCATGCTTCATAATATTTGAGACAACGACATGTTCTAGAATTTTACAGGTGATACCCATCAATGATATAGGACAATAGTTTTCCGGGTTAAACTTGGGGCCTTTTTTATAAACCGAGGCAATGTTAGCCGATTTCCAGTCAGACGGAACCTCGCCAGTTAAAAGAGAACGGTTAAGGAGTTGACATAATATGGGGGATATTTCTGGAGCTAGCTCTCGTAGAACTTTAGGTCTGATAATATCAGGACCTGCAGCCTTCGAGACGTCAAGCTTGGACAGGAGTTTAGTTATGCCTGCTTCTGTAACGTAGAAGTCTGGCATTACAGGGCAAGTGGTTCGACTGGAATAGTTGTTTGCCAGAACCGCAGGGTCTATATTCTCTGAACTCAGGTAAAGACGGACTGAAACTGATTATTAAGTATATTGGCCTTAACAACGTTATCAGTCTCAAAAAGTCCATCTTGTTTCAGGGATGATATACCACTGTAGTCTGTGTGTTTGCGCTTTATAAACATCCAGATTTTTTTCATTGGAGTGAACTCATTGTGATTGGGCTCGGGGCCTATAATATCCTCTATGTATTCCCAGTAGGACTTCCAGATCAGTTTCTGAACTGGATGTTTAATGTCTTTAAAAAAAAATAATGGTGTTCGGGACCCTGGATTTTTGCATTGCTTGTAAAGCTGGTCCCTTCTTATAATTATTTTTTTTTAATTTCAAATGTTACCCACGGTTTATTATCTTTGGGTTTAGTAGTTTTATGTGGGATGTGTTGGAATATCAGAGAATTTAGTTCTGTTTTAAAGGTCTGCCAAATAACTTCTACAGTTAAGATCTTGTTATTGATGATATTGTTAGCCAGAGATGTCAGCTCCTTTTTGATGGTGTCCCAAGTTTGCCTATTTATATCTTTAGGGGATAGTTCGAGGATTTTGGCTAATTCGTTTAGGTGGGTTGAAAAATTCCATGAATACCACATCATGATCAGAAATGCCCGGTAGTGTATCTACACGCTGAACCAATCCATGGTATTCCAAAACATCCCGCATAAAACTACTAAACCAAAGATAATAAACTGTGGGTAACATTTGAAATTAAAAAACTGTTCCCCTTGCTATTCCACATCAAGGGGATGTAGTGTATATTACAGTGTCCCTGTGCACTGTTCCCCTTGCTATTCCACATCAAGGGGATGTATTAATACCCTAGATCTACTTATAACAAATTATCCTGCCTTGGTTCAGCGTGTAGATACACTACCGGATAATTTGTTATAAGTAGGTCTTATCATCCCCTTGATGTGAAATAGCAAGGGGAACAGTGCACAGGGACACGGTAATATACACTACATCTCCTTGATGTGGAATAGCAAGGGGAACAGTGCACAGTGACATGGTAATATACACAATGTATGTATAGACCTGTCCTGATGTGTAAAGTGTAATAACCCTGCAAGATTAGGGATATGAATCCAGCCAATGACAATGTTGGCTGAAGGGAGAGATAACCGCTAAATATGCCAACATATCAGAGTGGTATCACTATTTTTTTTATATGCTTATTATTTTGATTATTTGGGCTAGCTGATATCCATCCAATAATTTATCATAAAGAAATAACATGTATTTATAATAATACAAATAAAAACTACCAGGTAACCACCTTATTCCCTAACAAGGGCAATCAATATAGAATATCAGCCCCACTTGTATTAATTATCATTTTCAGTTACATAAATGTACCTATTCACTGTTAACTCTGAGCAAAACAATGGAACAATGTCGCATGTTAATATTTCGTAATTGCCAAAGAGTTCTAATATGGAGACTATGGGAATCCTAGTTTTATTTCCTATGATTTGGGGATCACAGTATGTGTTGATGGAAGTCATAATTAAGTGTCCCTTTTAACTCATTCACCCCTGATATTTCATAATGGACTATTCCGACCTTTGAATTGGAAGAGTTCAAATGTGTCTTTAGGGGTGAATGAGTTAAGCAGGGATATTCAAAAGGACTCCACTTATTTTCAAGGACCCTTTTTAAACTATGTAAAAAAAAAAGCCATTTCATCTTAAAAGGATTCCATTTATTGAATACCAACTGCTAACACCACATGTACTGCATGAGAATAATAGGATTCAAAAGTATATTCACAAAAAAAGCAAGTTTTAATGATGCATGCGACATGTACTACAAATGGCTACCAACAGGCACCAAATTAAAATCTATCGTCTATGCATAAATTCCCCCGGGGCATGCTACCAGAATGTATTTGCAGAAAGGTCTCAATGTGATAGGATCACCCCTATCTAAGTGCATGTAAAAGTCACCTTACTCTATATAAATTAAAGGAAGAGATCTTTTCAGTCGGACGACACGCCTCATGTGTCAAAACTAGTCAACATAAACTTGGATTAAAGTCTTTATACCCAGCACAACATCTTTTCCTTTTAATTATGAAACAAGTTATCATTATTTCGACATATATCAATCACTCTTGTTGGCCCGGATGTTAGAGAACAGGGGGAGGGGGTCGTAATGTGGGAGGAAACTGGAGTACCTGGGGAACAGGAAGGTGACCCTATACATTTTCACGTCTGATTGGGAAATCAAAAAGGATCCCATCGCAAATTGAAGGATCGAAACACAATTTTTTTTTTATATTTAAGTTATACAAAATGAGTCAATCAAGAATTTAAATTCTCACAAATAAAATTAGTAAGATTGGTTTACAAAATTAAAATGCATCATAATTATGGGAAACGCAACAGATGAGACCTTTTTGTCTCTATCACAAAAGCGTTATATATATCTTTCGTAATTTCAGAACATGAAGCATCGCTAGAGATCACTGAAGAACCTTTCGACGACAAGTGTGTACAGATTATAGACAAGATGAAGGGTTGCATTGTGGGTATTCCCACTCTCTTTGCGTTTCTGCTGTGTATCCAATCTGTATCAGCTGGCACGTTGGACTTCTATCTGACCGGGACCGTGGAGCTATACGAAGAGTTTAACGCATCATCTTTTAATGGGAACAATTACGCTGCGTATAATGTAAGTATAGTTCTGCAATTTTAAGTACAAAAAATTAAAAGAATAGCAAGCATTATATTAATTATATATAGCTTATTGATATATTCATTTAAAAAAAAAAAGATATGTGAAGAAATACAAGTTTTTTAGCAGGGACCTGAGCATTAATGTTGTTAGTTGGTATGTTTGGAATTAAACTGATATGTTCAGAGTTATATCAGAGTTTTTGGGGTTTAAATCAACTCTTGGTAAAAATGCCCAATTCCCCACCCACCCCACCCTCCCACCCATATGATGGTATATGTACTTAGGCTATAGGATGGAAATGAAGCTCTCAATGCCTAAACTTGACCCCACCAAACTTCCTCGCATCAATCAATTTGTTTAGCGGATGTACAAAAACATGCTTGGTAACATTGGAAAGATGGATAAAATTATCTCCTATATCCATAATGTATTTTTCTTCTGCAGACGTGAACTATGTTTACTCAGAAATAACAGAGGTTTTCTCAGTCGTTTCTGCATATTCATGAGGTTAACGTCATGCAGTGGCTTGAAGGAAAATGCATGGGCGTTTTATGGTATCCTTGGAATATGGATACCAGGTGAATGTTAGATTTCTTGAGATTAAGGGTAAAAGATGGAAAGATGTTAGTAAATTTAATCACTCTATATGAATGAAGATGTTTGAAGGCACATTTTTTCTAACTTAATAATTTATTTTGTTTTAGGTGAGTTACTACGCTCCTAGTTGAAAGATGGATAAAAATGATCTTCTATATCCATAATGTATTTTTCTTCTGCAGACGTGAACTATGTTTACTCTGAAATAACCTTTTGGTGTTTCAGAGGTTTTCTCAGACACTTATGCATATTCATGATGTTATATAACGTCATGCAGTGACTTTAAGGAAAATGCATGGGCGTTTTATGGTATCCTTGAAATGGCAACCAGGTAAATGTTAGATTTCTTGAGATTAATTTTTCTAACTTGAGAATTTGTTTTGTTTTAGGTGAGTTACTATGCTCCCAGTGCAGCGGTTTATGCTCCAAATGTGAACCAGGCAAATTATGTAGCCTTTTCGGAACACTTAACAATGGCTGCTACGGTAATCGACATTTTGGATATCTACGACACCGCCAATGCCGCATATGCCGGGGAAGCTAAGCTCCACATAGAAAGTGTTGTCGAGGTAATACTTCAATTTTGTTTTAAAAATGTGATTAATATTTGATTGGTGGCCGAATGATTTTAAGGTAATAGGATTGTGTCACCATTTCTCAGTTTTTGAAGTATGAAAATTTTCTGCCACAAAAAAATACAGGTTGTCAGAATTTTAAGGATTTTAAATGGAAACCTATTTAAAAAGGAGTGAATTTTGAAAAAAACCATTTTTGGCAAAATAATGTCAATAAAGATGACACTGCCATAGATTAGTATTGCATTATTGTATATCAATTTAATAAATGCTGAAATTGTGTAAAATAAATGATCTATAAACGATTAAAAATGGACGCTTTATAATTAAACCATATACACATAGTATTTTGCATGGAAGAGTTATCTTTCTTGAAAAACTTCACAGTAGAGAAACAGGTAGCCGGGTTTCCTGAAGTACAGAAAAATGGACACATTTGACTCATTGATATAAAAAAAAACTGAATTAATGCCTGGATTGCTTTGAAATACTTTAATATTGAGAGAACAAACTGTTCTGTCAATAATAAACATACAATATTCATCAGTTTGATATTAAACATTAGAAAATGCGGAAATTGTGATACTGTCTCCGTACATTGGATTTTCAACTAGGGATGTACTTCCTATTTCCGTTTATCAATACACTCCTATGACCTTAACAATGATTGGTCATTTGTCTAATGATATTTCATTTAATATAATCAGCTTGAAAAATTACCTTCTATTGTCATGATTAAGATATATCTGATATGTCAATACTGTATCACTTTATCATACTTTGTGGTATGTGTATACTGTGAAATCAGATATTTTTGTGGGGCAAAATTTTTGTGGTTTCCTGACAAAATACCATTTCGTGGATACATAAATTTGTGGATTATGAGTACATATTCAAACAGGAAATTGGAATATTTCTATCCTGCATAATTTACATATGGTAGAGTTATTTTCTTGCATCATTATAACCAGTTCATTATTTTGAGATTTCTGGCCACCATCTTGTAGAAAATTAACCAATTTTAAGATTATCTCTACCACTGGGAAGATCGCATCACAGTTTGGTGTATCCTGAAAGTATTAAATTTTAAACACAGCAGAAATAAATGTAGATCAACTACTTGAATTTGTAATTTCTTCAATAAGATTCATCAGTTTGGAAATATGTGATATCAAAGTTTTACTTTCTACACCAACAATGTACATATTAAACGTGTCGCAACGTTTCAAGACCAACTGGTCCCTTTGTCAAGCTATGACTGAGCTTGACAAAGGGACCAGTAGGTCTTGAAAAGTGGCGACACGTTTAATACGTTGTTTGTATAGAAAGTTAAACTTTGATATTTGAATTGGTAATGATATCATACTTGCCACAGCATGACGTCATATCATTGTCTTTGCATTGTGACGTCATGTCCATGTAAAAATAATAGAAAACGTTCATGCATGTCTGATAGAGACAGGGAAATCTCAACCCGAGGGTAGGTTTTTTTAAGTTGAGCACAACGCCTTCTAGACCTATTTCTGTGAATGATAGGTGTGAAAAATATTCAAGCTTTGACACGTAATTATCTCCCTTTTCCTTCAGTCACATGGCACTTGTAGCATAGAGGGGTATTTATGTTTCAATTGTAACAGGAAAGAGAGTAGTGTGCTTCCACCGGGGATCAAACCTGTGACCCCCTAGTAGTTCCCTAAGTCAAATGCTCTACCACTGAGCTCACGAAAAATTTCGACTGTAATCCTATGTACAATTAAAATTTACCACACAATGTTAACTTGTTTCTTTTCCTCCAGCAATATGACACCTCCGTAAACCCTGACCAGGTTCAGATATCCATGTGGATTTACAATACCGCCACCAGCGCTGTAGCCTCCACTGTGATGGTTGATGTGGATCTAACTGCAGGCTTGGAAGTGGATTACGACATTTCCACCTTCCTCATCAATGGTAGCGGCAACACCTTCAATACAGACATCACGGTCATCAGCAAGAAACAATTTACATGGAGTGCGTCAACTATCTCGGGTAAATATTTCTCTGGAACACCTGCTGCTTCAAATTTCTAATAGTTGCTTTAAAGGATACAATATATAAGATCGGATCCTTTGTCAAACTGTGATTTTTCAGATGAAATATTTTTTTCACAAAATGTGATTAGGCCAAACAAAATAACGTATTTTTCAATTTTATATTATAAGGTCTGTAAAGGAGAGAAATATTGACTTAAACTCATTCATCCCTATACATATTTAAACTGGACTTGCCCAGTCATTGATTTGGTAGGGCTCAATTGTGACTTTAGGGGTGAATCGGTTGACATGTACAGTGCTTCCTGAAAATTGCCAAAAAACATTTTGATTGGTTATAAATGATTAGGGTAGGTAGGGTAACCAGAAGCAAATAACTTTTTATATTCAACCTTGTTGTGTAAAAAGAGAATGCTTTCCAAACATTTTTGTGATAAGCAGCTGTGTTTGTCCTGACGGATTGGTCAGATTGTGTTTTGTCCGACGGATGTGTCCAATTGTGTATTGTCCGACGGATGGGTCAGATTGTGTTTTGTCCGACGGATGGGTCAGATTGTGTTTTGTCCGACGGATGTGTCCAATTGTGTATTGTCTGACGGATGGGTCATTTTGTCTGGCTAATTGGTCTGATTATCGTTCTCCTATTTTTCGTAACAGGTCTGGAGGGACGCTCTTTACAGTTTATAGCAACACCATCTGGCAGTGTAGGACGAGACCTCGCTGTGGGAGCCAATCTTTTTACCTCCAGTGTTACTTACTACCTAAATGCAACAGAGGTAATTTGGCTGATAAATTTCTTTCATTTCCCTGTGTGTAAGATAGACCTGTCCAGGGTAAGAAAGGGGTGTAGGAAATGTCTATCTTACATCCCATTTCACGTGACCTGACGTCGCGAATTTGGAACTCTCCGATGCCGCAATGCGGAAAAGGCGACGTTATAAAATTAAAAACCTTTTACGATATATTTACCGTACACGTTAGAAAGATGTGATTAATTTTCCTGCGCAAAGTCTGTTTGCCAATATGGGATATGTTAAATCCGGCTGGCTGATTCGTTTTCGTCTAAAAAGCTCTGGGGGAAAATTTGATATTTTCAAAATGGTGGCCAGTCCAAATGCATTTTCATGATTTCTGAGCTTATTCTGGTGTTTGGAATGAGAGAAAAATACTCTTTCATACCCAAGGGTGTAGGGTAGGGAAATTCCACCCTCAGGATTTTCAAATTCGGCAAAACCCTCGGCTTGAGGGTTTTGCCAAATTTGAAAATCCTGAGGGTGGTATTTCCCTATCCTACACCATTGAGCATGAAAGAGGGTATATTATTGCATCTCAGAGCAGATCTTCATATTACAAAATCAGATGATGGAATGCACGTAATTAGGTTTTAAAAATTGGTAAATATGTGGAACCTGATAAGTTCATAGTGGTAATTAGTAAAAATATATTGTTATCAAATAGATTTTATAATGACTAACTGGTAAAATCCTAAGAGAAATAAGCTGATTAAGGATATATACGGTAGCACATTGTAGTAATAGTATAGTGTACAGGGAAATTTTTGCTGCAGTTTTCAATTTTCACCTTTCTCGCCCCTGGCATTTAGGGCAAAGGTATATCATGACAGCGAATGTTAGTTGATAGTTTACTCTGTATGATAATTCATGTGAAGGGTACGTGAAATTTAAAAACAGAAAAAACAAAAAAAAACCACTGGGTGAATATGGATTTTACCAGTGAAGCAAAAGGAACTATTTGACTGGGGGAACGTTTCCCATTCTCGATATCCAGGTGTTACGCTCACTTTCACTCTCTACACCCCTGGAATATGTCATAGCAAAATTGAAGGCTCAATATGCAGCACCTTGTGGGTCATACTCGATACCCAGGGGTTACACTCACTTTCACTCTCTGCACCCCTGGAATATGTCATAGCAAATTTGAAGGTTCAGTGTACGCCACCTTGTTGAGGAGGCAAGAAGACTAGTTCGATCCCTTGATGTACATCAAAAGAATCTTGCGGTCACGTAACGTAACGGTAAAAATTGACAGGCTTTGAAATCAGGCGTCTCTCCATTATAATATTCAAAGGACAGGTATCAGCCTAGCGATTGGTCAGGTTTTTTACCTGAGACCACTCAAACAGCTATCTTCGTGCCTTCAATTTTGCTATGACATATTCCAGGGGTGCAGAGAGCAAAAGTGAGCGTAACACCTGGATATCGAGGATGAACGTTTCCCGGTATACAGTATAATTTTGAACAGAATTGGCAGTCTCTTTTAGCATGTGCTGAACTGTTTACAATTTAATGATACTTCCTTTACTTTAATCATAATTTGATACAACTGCTATGGATTACTGATCAACTTATTCTGTTCTACTCCGTGTAAATATATATACATATACTAAATCTCCTAAGGTCTTTTTCCTATTAATATTTCATCATAATTTTAGTTATTAAGTGTAGCTTGCAGTTATGTTTTCATGGATACATTTTTCATTTTATGATATCGAATGAATTTAATGCTAATGAAAAATAAATTAACAGATTTTATTTGAGCCTGCTTCTAAGTTTAGAATGATGCAATACTTCACATTCTGTTGTAGGTTGTTGGACCAATAGACCTGACGGTTTGTGTGAGCCGCGAGGATTCAGTCACTGAGAGTGTAAGTTGTCCGAGATTGAAAAGTACTATAAGATGCCACAGTTTAACTGTTGTATTTTTTCGCCGTCCATGATGGAGGCAATTTATCATGACAGCGATTATAGTACACAGCATACCATATATAGCTAATAACCACAACTGAAGGGCAAAATTAACTTAATTTTAATCTGTAATCACACGATATCATTATGTTTACAACCTTGTACCACTTGACGACATAAATTGCCATAAAGTGACATCTTAGTCTTTGCCAATAGTTACTGGTGAAGGAAGATTGATTTCAGGTATACAATACCTGTTCAAGATACAACATGTTTTAGTTTATTATTATACAACATCCAAATATTTTAAATTTTTGATCCATCCATTATAATATACATTTGGTCATGCACTTCTTCACAGGTAGATAAATAATCATGTTGACACCATCAAAGTCAATCGTTGTATGCTGCAATGATGAAGGTCACGTTTTGATGGATCCACTTGGTATGGTACTCCTGTAACATAAGAATTGGGTGGTCAGGTGGCGCAGTGGATGGCGCACTTGCCTTTCACCAAGGCAAACCAGGGTACGATTCCCCGATCGGACGTGAAAAGGTTTGGGGTCACCTGCCCGACCACGTGGGTTTTCTCTGGGTACTCCTCCCCACATTAAGACCCCCCCCCCCCCCACCCGCGTGCTGTTTCATAGTTGTTGTAAAATAAATAATGTTTACAAGAATTGCCCTTGACATTTCCTTCATACGCCGAACTCATATCTGTGAACTTTGTGAATTGTGTTGAGTTTTGCAAGGTAACTGTTTAAAGTATAACATATTTTTCATTTTTTTAATATTTCTAAAGCATGTTGCTCTGAATATCAATTATCAACGGTTTTATATTTGTTCGTTGTATCCATATAACATAAAATTTCAATACAAAGTCATTCTAACCATAAAATTTTCACCATTTCCTTTACAACAGCTTAACAGACCTTTGAAATTTACTTATACATACATGTAATTACAGGTCCTGCTAAATTTTTCACTCGTTTTGAATTTGTCCTCTCACTCGATGGCGGTAACTGACATATTTTTCAAGAATTAAGCCCATGCCTGGTAATAAGCCCACCAATATCTATTGCAATTCAGGAGTTATGGGAACTAAAACTATTAATATTGCATTACGTATACCCTGTAATACCCCAATCACCACCTACACCCACCAAACCACCACCTACCATACCACCACATTCTAGTCAAGAGATTAAGTATTTGCCGCATGGGCTTATTGCAGGATAAATATGGTATGTATAATTTGACTATTTTCTTTGTGTTGCGTTTTAGGTCCTGTACCAACACGGTCTCACCGCTCTCACCTTCTTCATGGCACTCATTCTGGGTGTCATCATCGTCATTGTTGGGGTCGTCGTCTACCGCCTTCTGTCTAATCGTAAAGGAGCCAGAACCGTTCATGTCCATGAGGTAACTATTGTGTTACCGTACATAACCCAGTAAATTATTCACACTTGGTCTTATCATTATATTTTCTGTATATCAATCATAATGACTTTGTTTTGGATGTGTCTTCAGGGGTAGATGAGTTAAATCATGCACATCCTTGTTATTTGAGAGTTTAAATCCACTGACTCAACTGCTCTGGGTTTTCCTCGTTCTCAGAGGTCTACTAGGTGGAGATGCAGGATTTTACCCAATACCTTGTTCCCTATCAGTGCCGCTGATATTGCATCATGTACTTGTATACCCACCTGCCACCTCGACACAAGTATTCTGGTGAAATGTGTCGATTCCTGTATTGCCAGGCTGTATTTTACCAAAGTGACTAGTAAATATGCAAGGGTCTTTAGTAACATAGGCCATCGTTGTCATCGGGGTGAATGAGTTAAATTAGACGTAGTTTGGTTTGCATCGTTGTTCACTGCCTAACGAGTAAGACCTCATGACACGCTCATGTGACCCGGCGTTAAAATGTTTGATGTCATTTGTAGCATGACGTCATAATGCACGAGAAGGGAAATCGGCTTGTGATGGATTATGGGAAGGCCATGTCAAAGAAAGGACACACCATTACAGACTACAGGTATGTATATACAATTAATTTTATGATACCTTATCTGTATATGTAACAGCATGTCTGATTGGATAATAATGATCACATGACTATGGGAAAAAAATGTGTCTGCTCCCATTTGAAAGTTCCTGGTTATATTTCGCAAGTTGGGATTCTCTAGACACATGAGCAGGAGGCACCACACCTGAGTTCTGTCACAGTGACTGAATTCAAAGCAGACGACAGCAATGACGAGGAAGCCTGATTATCTTGACTATTTTGTTGTTATTGGTTTTTTTTCTGTATGATAAGATATTCATTGCCCTTTTGGTATGGAAGCATTATATTTTTTTTTCCCTGCCATTTATGCTTAATTGTTTCATATCTATCTTGATTTACATGTTATTTTATCAAACGTAACACCTTACAAGTATAACATGCAATCACAATTCCGATGTCTAGACGTGGCTGCCCTTTGTCTACTTATAAATAATGGTGTTTTCCCCTTTTGAACATTGAATGTAACCTCCACAAAAGGTGATACCTTCAGAATGTTTTTCTATTTCAGCCTGGTGAATGAAGATGAGAGCATAGTCGGGATTTTGGCCATGAAAGACCGTCTCGGACGTCACCGAGAAATAGACAAGTAAATATGAAATTAAGGCTACACCATAATCTTGAACTTGATAAAAAATATCTGAACACCAACTACGTACAGACCTCATACAAATCCTTCTGAGGGACCAAGAGCCTTGGAATTATGATATAACGGAAGTAGCTTATTGGCGTAAAGTACTACCATGTTTGCGAGAGAAAAAAAGACCTTGACTAATATTCAAGATCACAGGGGTCAAATATGTTGAAACACTCATACTGTACCTTCTGGAACACCAAGAGGCCTAGAGTCATGACATGTAGAAAGCAACTTGCTAGCAATGGCTGCTACAAGTTTGGGAAATGTAATGACCTTGAATTATATTCAAGGTCATGAAGATCAGATGTTGAAATATTCAAACAGATTCTGAAGAACAAAAAGACCCAGTGAAACAGCATACAGCCAGTAGCTTGATGTAATGTAGTAACATAAGCTTGTGAAAAAAAGCACATTGTACCTTGACTCATATTCAGGATGACAGGCATCAAATTTGTTTAAACACTTAAACACATGTCAATGACATATTTGGCCAATAGCTTGCTCAAATATGTTGCTACAAAATTTGTGAAAAAGAAATGGCCTTGACAAATGTTCAAGGCAATAGGGCTTAGATTTTTTTAAATATTCAATCGATTTTAATTTTGAAGAATTAAAAAGGCCAAGATGAATTATATTAAGCCAGTAGCATGTTAAACTATATTGCTAGGATGTTTGTGAAAAGAAAGGCAACTTTAAACAGGTGAACTCTTTAGGCCCCTTGGACCTCTTTTTGGAATAATTTATGGTTTACCAACTAATCTGTTCTGTCTTGTGTAGTTTGGACATCGCTGCCACCATAACTGTCGACGAGGGTCTGGAGGAAGAAAGAAATGAATCCTCAGAGGCAGTCACCACCATGTATGTTCAGATCATGAAACAAAATGGTGACATCTCCCAGAAGACAGAGGATGGCGTGATCCAGAAACACAGGATGAGGAAGGGCGTGCTACGTAAAAGTCTTGATGATGAATACCAAGGAGAAAAAAGGAAACTCCTCAAGAAGCTCTCGGCTAAAAACAAGGTAATTATCTTTTGTCACAGAATTTGGTGCACCTGCATTGTGTAAGGCACATTAGTCTAGTGATAGGTTGCCGGGCTCTTAACCGAAAGGTTGTGGGCTCGAGTCACGGCACAGCCCTGTGTTGTATCTTTGAGAAAGATACTTTACTCCGCTTGTTCCAGTCTACTCAGTTTTAAATGAGTATGTGGTTGGGCAGTACTAATATTGTTGAATGCTGGCTGTCAGCGATGAAATGGCAGCACGGACTGTATATGCATCCCAGGGAGTTGAGATAAATATTGGCTGGTTGCAAAGGCCCAATAACCACGGATAATAGTTTGTGAACCGCTTTGAGACAACCTTCCAACTAGGTTGTGATAAAGCGGTATATAAGAACCTCAAATTATCATTATTATATTGTGAAGATGTAATGCTTGTTAATTATTTATGATTGATTACTTGCCTTTTTGAGATTTTTTATGTTCACGTTGATACGTTAAAGACTTAGGAGACTTCCAACCTAATTTGTCATACATTGTCTAGTCAGATTCCAATTCTCCCCAAATGTACTTTTTAGATACGTTAAACATTAAACTTTATCTTCATTTGATTTATAACATTGCAGTTATGTGGTAAGCTCTAAGCTTGTGTTCCAATTCCTCTGAAACTACATGTACATGCATATTAAATAACCTAGCCTGATTATTGAATAAAGTACTGTTCAAACTAAATGTTTGTAGATTGTAAAAGAAGTTATGTGTTAAACAGAAATGAAATACAATAATCTGAGTTTCTTATAATAAAGATGTTCAGTTGTGATTAAAAGTACATTTTTAATTTCAGGCCAAAATGTCGAGACTTCACCAGAAACAGAAGGTTGACAAAAGGAAGCTGGTCAGCGACATGACTGACATTGGAGATGAGGTCAGTGTGGGGTTAAAGGCCAGCTAGAGCTATATTTACCAGAGCTTATAGCACATTTGCAGAATCAGCGATTTTCTTTTCGTGGTCATAGGTCAAAGTTAAAAGGTTGAAGGTCACACTTGTCCACTTTTTGGGGTGGGGCGTATATGCTAATTTATGCAGTGATTATTAATTGTTCTTCAGTTTGGAATTTCTATTTTAAGCTATTTAAATGTTTTTGAGGATTTCTTTTGAAATAGAAATAGATCAAAAAAACTAGTTGGTAGTGTGATTTAACCTTTGATTAAAGTGACAGTTTAACTCATTCACCCCTGAAATTTCATGATGAACTAGACCAACCTTTGAATGAGAAGAGTTCAAATGCGTCTTCAGGGGTGAATGAGTTAAAGAGAAGGTTATAATGACAAATATGGGGCTGCAGTGGCTGAGTGGTTAAGGCATCTGACATTCTGCTAACACTAGCCCTCAACCACTAGGTTGTGGGTTCGAGACCTACGTGGGGCAGTTGTCAGGTACAGTGTATTGGCTGTGGGTCAGTGGTTTTTCTCGGGGGAACTCCAGCTTTCCTCCACCACAAAAACCTGTAATGTCCTTAAATGACCATACCTGTTAATAGGACGTAAAACACAAACAAAACCAAAATAATGATAAATATTTATAAAAATAAGTCTCCTAACTTGATCCCTAGGAGAGGAAACAGTTACTAGTTATGATGGATGCTGAACATCAAACAGAACAGGAAGAAAAAACGTACCACCTCAAGCTGGAACAGGACGAGGAGATGGAGAATCTCAGAAAGGTAATCTACAGTGTTTTATACTCTGGCAGTGTTAATCTCTACCAGTTTTCATTTGTTGTTTTATTTAAATGTCACATTAAGTGATATTTCATATTGAAACACTGTATTTGTCTTGCAATAAGCCCATGCCTGGTAAAAGGCCCATCCAATATCTATTGCGGTTCGGTAGAAATACCAATTAATGCTTCTTCATTGTCCTGCAACAAGCCTTACCTATCTATGAGTCAGATATTATATGTAAGCTCCCTCGGAAATAAGCCCCTGCTTGCTAATAAGCCCACCAATACATATTGCAGTTACAAAGAAATGCCAACAAAACTTGTTCACGGTCCTGTAAAAGGCCTCCTCATTCTTTCAGTCAGAGAGTATGAGTTTGCCCCTGGGCTTATTACAGGATAACTATGGTATTGGAAGATAAGTCATAAACAAAAATTTAATTTTATCAGTCTTGAAATAATATACGTTGAAAAGGTTTTTGCAATTCCATTTTATTTTTTTCTTGCATAACTGCATGTCCATGTCAACAAGATTTTAGCCTTAAGTGATTTTGTAGGAGTTTGCAGCCCGTGAAAGGATCAACCAGAAAGAACTGCAAAAGACAATGCTGAAGGACCTGGAGGTGGACGGCAACCTTCATGATGAGAAGGTTCAATGGCTGCTTGACGAGCACAAGGAATCACAGAAACGTCTTGATCTTTCTTACGACAACGAGATCTCCAAGCAAAGGATGCAACTTGAGGAGAAACTTGAGCGACGGCGGGGCCTGTCTAAACTCAGTGTAAGTCTATTTATTATTATACCTCATCTTTATAACAGCGTGTCTGATTGGATGATGCTGGTCACATGACAGGGAAATAAAACTTCATGTCGCCCTCACATCCACAAGTTTCCCTGATCATATTTCCCTTATTCGGAGCCACTCTAGAAAAATCAGCAAGAGCCTCCACAACCTAGTTTTGAATGACGGAAGCAGACGACAACAATGGCGCATCAACCTGAAACTATTGTGATATTGTTTTGTTTTTGTTTTTTTGTCATTATAAAATATTTATTGCCCTCACTGTACGGAAACACAATTCTTTGTTTTTCCTTGTTTATTCATGTTTCACTCAGGCTTCGCCCTCATGAAACACGATTAACAAGGTAACCTTTGAGAAACAAAGAATAGTGTTTCCCTACAGTAAGGGCAATGAATGTATATAATACTGTGTCAGGATCCTGCTATACTGACACCTGTAGTGTGCCTTTTTCATGTTTCCAGGAACAAAATGAAGATGACATGAGTGACACCCTGAACTACCTGGCTTCCAATATGAATGACTTTATCACGAGGGCCAAAAAGTAAGTATTATGATATAGTAATATATATATATTCATTAACTATATAGCAACCAATCAACGTTATCATCAGGCCAAAAACTAAATATGCTAAAAGCAAAATTTGGGTATGATGCCTTTTCTTTTGATAAAGCCATTACAGGACAGTTGGATATATATTTGATCTACCTGTGACAGTACAATTGTTTATATCTTGATATACCTGTGACAGTACAATTGTTTATATCTTGATTTAAAAAATATATAAACTATTTAAACAATTATGAAACAAGTTGTTTCGACTTATATTAATCACTCTTATAGGCCCAGATGTTAGTGTGCAGGGGGGGATTAGTGTGGGAGGAAACCAGAGTACCCGGCGAAAACCCTAGTGGTCGGGCATGCGACCCTAAACCTTTTCACATCTGAACGGGGAATGGAACCCCGGCTGCCTTGCTGAAAGGCAAGTGCCCTATCCACTGCACCACCCAACCACCCTAGAATATTTTGATTTACTTGTGACAGTACAGTAAGTTATATTTTGTGTTCTGACTTAAGACCTTAATTTATAAGATTTGCCCTTAACATAGGGTGTAACTCTAACCTTGACCTTTGTCAGGGACGGGATTGTGAGCCCAGACGAAGCCAAGGTGATGTTTGAGAAGGCCAAGAAGGAGATGATTGCTCTGAAGGAACAGATGGACAAAGACCGCCGCAAACAGGAGGAGGATCTACACAAAAAACTCAGCAACCTTAAAAAACAGCGCATGGCAAATCTGGTACAGCCTTTTAACTGTTTTTGGTGTTTGTTGTATAGATATTTCTATTCACAATGATTGACATCTGAAAGGGGTCAATGTAATGAAGATTTTAGCTGATAGCATTTAAGTATTGAACGTCTGTCAGATTGCAGTTACAGTCAATATGAATGCAATCTGGGTGACAGATAAAAAGAATGATGTCCGTAAGGGGAAGGGCATATGTAAATATTATGACATGTAATCACTGGTAGGTAAAACTTCGTAAACACAACAACTGGTTTACTTGTTGTCAGTATAATGTGACAAAGGAGAATACTGTGCTTGGTGCTTTCAATAATATATTTCGTTGAGCTAGCACTCTAAAATTGGCATCAGATGTGTGCATATCACACGGTGGCTAATGCACCAACATACTGCTTCTTTGAGTTCAGGCCCCGGGATCATGAAACAATCGCAGACTTAAGTTTTTGCTTAGTCAATAACGTATGACGTCGCTTTTCGTGACGTTATTTGTGATTGGCTAAGGCAAAACTTAAGATACAACAGTGTACAGAAACTTTACAAGTTTTTTTTAATCCATTTCAGCAAAAACAACAGGAAGGAGAGTTACAGAGCTACATGAAGTCCCATTCAGCCCAGACAGATGGCCCAGTCGGTAGGCACATTTTCCTTACCTTTAAAAAATATGCTACATTAATTAATTTAAAATGTTTCTTAACTAAAATTTCCTTACCTTACCAAATCAAAGACTGGGCAAATCCAGTGTAAATATGTAGGAGTGAATGAGTTTACCAATAACGGTATTGAATTTGCACACTCACAATATATTAGCAGCAGAAAACAATATGCAGAAACTTGAATTACATAATTTAGTGCAATATTTAAAGCATGAAAAGTTATAAATTAAGATAACTGCTGTAATGTATAAATTTACAGCATATATTTGTTGTTCAAATTTGCAAATTGAATTGATCATAAAACCTAAGAGCTTGTTATGATTTATTTAGACAGATTTGAATAGCAAGAGGTTATAAGATACATGTACCTGTTATTGTTTATGTACATTGTATACCGGGAAATCTTTTCGCTGCAGATTAATTTTTCGATGGCAAAAAAGGAAAAGATTAAACTTCAGCAAAAATTCCTTGATATACAGTATATTGCAGTAGCACTAATTCATGAATGTGCTAATCTGTTAAAATTTGACAACGCATTAAAATCTGAGTGCATTGAAATAAGTATGTTTACAGTGCTGGTTAGTTTAAATTATCCTCTCTCAGGTTTTTATTGCGATCGCCTTTTGTCCGTCGTCGTCCGTCGTGCGTCCGTAAACAATTTACATTTTCGACTTTTTCTCCAAAACCCCAGAACCAATTTCAATGAAATTTTGCTGGGACATTCCATGGACAAAGGTCAACAAAAAAGGTTGCCGGTTTAGTCCTAAGCCCCCAGGGGCCTGAGGGGCGGGGCCAAAAAGGGTTGAATTGACTAAAATTTCAAAAATCTTCTTCTCAAGACCCAGATATGGTAGAATCAAATACTCTTCATA